GTATTTAGTATCTGTAAATAGTACTGTCCTGTGCTTTGCTAAGAATATGTTGTGAAATTAACTATAAAGTATCCAAAGTAGTACATACATATTCTTTCACAATGGCATAATCTACAAATCCTCCAAAGTCCTTTTTGTTTTGTTTTTATAGCTGTTGAGGAAGCTGTGAGGATCATTACTGGCGGGGCTCCAGAGCTAGCAGTAGAAGGCAATGGCCCGGTAGAAAGTAATGCAGTACTCACCAAGGCTGTCAAAAGGCCCAATGAGGATTCAGATGAAGATGAAGAAAAGGGAGCTGTAGTCCCCCCTGTTCATGACATTTACAGAGCACGGCAGCAGAAGCGAATTCGATGAAGCAGGCTCAACACCTGCCTCCGAAAGAAACCTCTTATCCAGGATTTCCTTTTTTGCCTCTTAAGTCATATGTTTAAAAGAGACAATGCTTTGTTACAAGGTTCTTGGAAACAAAGCTGTATTGTCATTGGTGCCTCTATCATATGGTTCTTGAGAAAAAAAAACAACCTGTGTGAATTTAGAATATGGAACAGACCTATGCTGTAAGCAAAATTAGGTTTTCAAAAATGTGAGAACAGTACAAAATGGCAGAGCCACATTTTGTTCTCTCTTCAAGGGTATTGTATTGCCACTTGAAGACTTGTGAGTTTTCAACAGTTTTATTTTAAAAACTGGATGGCTTATGATTGTAAAGCATTTTATCACATTTTCTGAAAACAATTGTTGTTGGTTTGCTTATGTAGAGTCCTGCCTTATTGTTTGTTTTTATTTATGGCAGAATGTATGGACCTGTTTTGTAGTTTAAATTTTAAAAACAATCCTTTAAAAAAATAAAAGGATCTCAAAAACGCCATGCCTCCTGCTTCCTTCATTCATATTTTGTTTAAAATTGCTACTTATGTTACTCAGCCAAAATGGTTTAAAAATAAATGCCAACAGGGCCTCCCCGGTGGCGCAGTGGTTGAGCGCTGGGTTGCGAAGCTGCCTGCAACCTCTGCAGCGCCGGTTCGATCCCCAGCAGCTGGGCAAGGGTCCCACATGGCGCGCAGACCTCTCCTGCCGCCCGCTGCTCCCCTCAGCAGTGTACTTCGGTCCTTCTGCCTGCTCTGCTCCCCGCTCTGGCTCTGGTGAATTCTCTCACCCTCCCGCGCTTCTGACCGTACCCAGTGCTTGTATAAATAAATAAATAAATAAATCTTTTAATAAATAAATATATAAAATGCCAACAATACAAGGTAAAGTTACCTTATAGTTAGTATTTATACACTGGCTTTTGTACACTGGCTTGGGGATACTAATTGAATGAAAATGTAAGGCAACCATTTCTAAGAGGCAAATTAAACATTTTAGGCATTCTCAAATATGTATGCACTTTTCCCCAATTAATATGAGGCAGGTTGGATGAGATATTTTATCTCTCATTTCTCTTAAAAGCAAAATAAATGTAGAAATTCCTTTCACCACTCACTCTTGGTTTTGACACAAATATTTCAGTGCTCAAAAACATTTTTTTCATGAGCACTAAAGAAAATTAGTCAATTTACCTAATTTTAATTACAGTAAGCAAAATTTCCTTGTCATGCAAAAAAGTCCAAATAACAATTTTCCTCTTTCTCAGCAACATTACCTACTTTTGAGTCATTTCTATAAAAAGTACTAGACAGAAAAATAGTGGAGCTATTTTTAGAACTGATAAAATTTAGGCACTGCAAGTCCTTCCTAAATAATATTCAGTCAAACTCTCATTTTTAGTAGTAAGTTACAGGGAGATTATATTGCCACAACTATTAAAGTATAAGGCTACAGCTACTTAGTAAATGTAAAACAACCAAATTGAAACACTGAAAAAGAATGAAAAAATACACCACTTTTGTAAACATACAGACCTTAATCAAAGTAATTATGAAATTGGTAACTTTATAGATAAAATCTTTTTAAGATTTATTTATACAAGCACTGGGGTACAGGCCAGAGGCGCAGGAGGGTGAGAGAATTCACCAGAGACAGAGCAGGGAGCAGAACAGCAGAAGGACCAAAAACACTGCTGAGGGGAGCAGCAGGTGAGACAGGAGAGGTCTGCTGCGCCATGTTGGAGTATCTTCCTGGCCGGCCGGAAATCAAACCAGTGTTGTGAGGCTGTGGACAGCTTCACAGTGCTGCGCTCAATCCGCTGCACCACTAGGGAGGCCCTAATTCTATTGTCTGATACTTGAAAAGTAAATGATAGTTCATTAACATGATAATAAAATATACTGTGTTCATAAAATTTGGGTGTTTTACATTTTAGTGCCCACAGCAAACATCATCAAAGTTGGTTGCTACCCCTGGATAATGACATGCAGCAAATGAAAGTAGCTACATTTGATAAAAAATACCAAGTAATAAAACTCAGGTACCATGTGATTTACTCATGAGACAGGGGAGGTCTGCTGTGCCATATGTGGGTTAGCTCCCTGGCCAGGATCAAACTCAGGCCCTCGCAGTGATAGCGCTGAGACTTACCCCTAGGCCACCAGGGAGACCCACAAAGTAAAATCTTTTTTTTATTTATTTATACAAGAGCTGGGGTACAGGCCAGAGGCACAGGGGTTGAGAGGATTCACCAGAGACAGAGTGGGGAACAGAACAGGCAGATTGACCAAAGTACACCGCTAAGGGGAGCAGCGGGCGAGTAAGGAGAGGTCTGCTGCGCCATGTGGGTTGCTCTCTGGCAGCAGGGGGATCAAACTGGTGCAGCAGAGGCTGTGGATAGCTTCATAGGTTGCCTCTTAACCCTTGCACCACAAGGGAGGCCCCAAAAGAAATGAAATTTAGGGCCTCCCCGGTGGCGCAGCAGTTGAGCGCTGGGTTGCGAAGCTGCCCGCAGCCTCTGCAGCGCCAGTTCCATCCCCGGCTGCTCCCGGGCCACCGGAGGAGGGTCCCACATGGTGCGCAGACCTCTCCTGCCGCCCGCTGCTCCCCTCAGCAGTGTACTTTGGTCCTTCTGCCTGCTCTGCAACCCGCTCTGGCTCTGGTGAATTCTCTCACCCTCCTGCGCTTCTGACTATACCCAGTGCTTGTATAAATAAATAAATAAATGAAATGAAATTTAAAAAAAAAACACACCTAGATGGAAAATCCATCCATTCATCCATCAAACCAACAAAGAGCTGACAAAGTGGCAGAAGTGGTGTTTACTGCTCTAGACAGTCCTTCATTCGTAGACTATCAAATAAACCTAAGAGACCTGCTAATAGTGACCTAACTCTTGAGGCACTCAGTTCCAACACATGGAGTGAAGCACTACTGCCAAATAAACCTAGCACTTTCCTAAAAGACATTTGTTTCCACAAACCTGTTAGTCAGGAAATCGATTCAAATTCAGTCAGTACACATTATATGGAACTAGTTCCATTCTAAAGGAAAACTTAGACAATAAATGATATTTTTTTCTTGGAGGGAAAGCTGTGGAGAGGAGTTACAAACAGATGCTTAATGTGCATTTCCTGAGTGACTAAACGAAATTTCCTGGCCCTTGCTGATAATTCTATCAGATTCCAGGAAGAAAATTACCTCGCTCCTCTTCATAGAGCCACAATGAAACAATTCAATGGTTGGCGCAAGGGGTTAAAGTCTCAGCACTCTGACCAGGGAGCCACACCTGACCAGGGAGCTGACCTACTTGGCACAGCAGACCTTTGTCTCGCCCTCTGCTCCCCTCAGCAGTGTATTTCAGTGGATCCACCTGTTCTGCTCCCCACTCGGTCTCGGGTAAATCCTCTCACCCCCCGCACCTCTGGCCTGTACCCCAGTTCTTGTATGTATAAGTAAATAAAACTTTAAAAAATTATATTGTGGCCTGATCTTTTTGCCTCCTTTGCTGTTGGCTTTTGCTACTTGTAAAACTCCACAGTGGACATTGAGGCGGAGGGGACCAGGGAGGTTCATGAGAATCTGAGGCTTCCTGTTATATATATGTGTATCTCAAGACTTTCAAACTGCTGAAACTTAATTTTGTTAAGTTAGGAACCCATGAAGGAAAATAAATCTTAATAGAGCTATCTCTTACAAGCAAAGATAAGAAGTAGGATTTCTGAGATTTAGGAAGAATGACTTCAAGGAGTGGTGATCCCCCCGTTTATTTGGGGGTATAGCTTCTTTCCCTTATATCTGGAAGGGGAGGGGGAAAAAACCACGATTACTCTGAAGGTGAGGCATGCGAAGAGTATTTCTCCTGGGTGTCTGGCTTCTTAGCCCTGAAACCACTATCATGACATGGTACAGTAACCTTACCTTCAGAAACAATTCCAGAATGACCTCACTGAATACACTATAAAAGATGTGATTTTTGTTCTTTAAAAGTTCTACTTAAGGAGGGCCTCCCCAGTGGTGCAGCAGTTGAGCGCAGGGTTGAGAAGCTGCCCGCAGCCTGGGCAGCACCTGTTCGATCCCCGGCTGTTCCCCGGCCACCGGAGGAGGGTCCCACATGGCGCGCAGACCTCTCCTGCCGCCCGCTGCTCCCCTCAGCAGTGTACTTCGGTCCTTCTGCCTGCTCTGCTCCCCACTCTGGCTCTGGTGAATTCTCTCACCCTCCCGCGCTTCTGACTGTACCCAGTGCTTCTATAAATAAATAAATAAATCTTTAAAAAAAAAAAAAAAAAGAGTATAAGAAAACCAAAATTAAAAAAAAAAAAAAAAAAAAAGTTCTACTTAAGGGGCCTCCCTGGTGGCACAAGGGGTTAAAACGCAACCTATGAAGCTATCCGCAACCACTGCAGTACGACTTCGATCCCTGGCCAGGGAGCTACCCACATGGTGCCAGACCTCTCCTGACTCACCCGCTGCTCCCCTCTGCAGTGTATTTCTATCTAACTGCCTGTTCTGTTCCCCTCTCTGTCTCTGGTGAATCCTCTCACCCTCCACACCTCTGGCCTATACCCCAATTCTTGTATACCTGAATAAATAAATCTTTAAAAAAAAAAAATTCTACTTAATTTTGTCCCTTTTCAATGAAACCAGGGAAGAGTTGTCCTTGAGTTTGAACTTTAATAATAAGACTTCTGATGACAAAGCATACATTTCTGACTGCAAGTAAAAACCACCATTAAAGCACAGTTTACAGAATATATTTGGAGAAATCTCTCCTAATTCTAGCCATTCACTCCTATGCAGCCTGGTTCACCAGACAGTCTGCAGGGCAAATGTTCCTCTGGCTGCCTCCAGGCCCATTCTCCAGTCCACCTCTCATCCACTTTAATAAAAGGATTCCTTGCTGTTGTGACTTGGAGTTGTGACTGGAAGATCAACCAACAACTTCACATGCTTCTCATATAACGTCCTGTCTCGCACACGTGTGTGAATGTGCACACACAAAATTTTTAACAGAGGAGACTACCTGTGAGACCCAAACTACTCTCTTAGTCACAGGGTATGTCAGGAATCCTGGTCACTGAAAAATACCGTTCAAAAATCCAGGGTTTCCTGAGACTGCCTTACTAGGAAATAAGTGAGCCTGAGCTATCAGGCCGAAAACACCCAAATTTAATTTTGGAGTTCTAATGCAGTCAGTGCATCTGTACTGCATCAGCGGAAATTTCTCAGTAAAATCTTGGAACATTTGTCATCTTTTATGTGACTCTAACATTTTTTTAAAGAGAAAAGTTCCTTAACTTTCAAGGCTGAAAAGGCAGAGAATTTTCTTTCTCTAGATCCCATAAGTCATAACTGCTGTCACCCAGGCTCAGGAGTAATTTTTTTTTTTAAATAAGTTTTTTAAAATTAAATAACTCTCCTCTAGAACAAAAGGAATTTGGGGCTCTGGCTAGGCCAGGCAGGAAGAAAGCAATAAATAGTGGGGGCTGGAGGAAGAGAAGGGCAGTTAGATTATAGAGAGTCCTTCCAACACATCAGGCCTGGAGGAAGGAGGAGTCGGGGCAAGAGTCTAAAGGCAGACAAGGCTTGGTTACTCTCTCTCTTGGGGGCCATCAGTGGGGCATTTGAATGAAAAATGACCCAGAGGGCAAAGACAGAGGTCCTAGACCCCAGGGAGGGAAAGGGCAGCTACAATCACTGGCGTGGGAGTGGAGACCGCTGCAGTCAGCTGTGTAACAGCCAAGTGGTGCCGATTCAACTCAAGATAACAAGATGCTTTGATGTGTAAACTTGCACTCATAAATACAAACCTTCAAAATAGAATTCAGTGCATTTTTCAACAGTGATACACAATATTCTTTCCTTTGGAATCAGTGCTGTTAAATAGAAATGTACTAAGTAGCCATTTTCCAAAGCAACATTAGAGTTGAGAAAAGGGATTCGGAGCTGAGCGACTAACACTGCGACAGGGAGCGCGTGTCAGGGTCTGACGAGAATCTTCCTGAGGATGGCATCATAGTAGGGACTGAAGACCATCTTGTTATAGTTGACCAGGCGAACGAATTTAATAGCAACTTCCTCCAGCTCTTTCTGAACTGGGCCCAATCCCCCAGGTACTGTGGGCAATGGCTTCTGATGACCTGATGCAAGGTAGGTTTCTAAGAAGGTCAGGATGCGGGAATCTGTGATAGAAAAGAAAGCATCTGGCTATTTCTTGTTGCAAGTGCCTTTACAAACTCCTGATTATGCTTCAGTTTTCACTTAAACTAAATTCCCTTTTCAGGAAGGGCTTCCCCGATCTCTCCCCAGACCAGGTACCCACCACCTGGTGCTTTTGAACATTCATCCTACATGTGATGGTTCCTCTTCCTCTAGATGATTAGTTTCATGAGGACAGGAACCATGCCTGTTTAGCATTCTCTCTCCAACACCCAACAGAATGTCCAGCATGAGATCTGGGCCCCAGCAAAAGCTCCAAATGCATATGGGGTGCAAGAATAAAAGGAGGCTAGTATGTTGGCAGCTTTTACTTTCGCTCTCAGGGGAGCAATACAGACCAACATCAGCCATTATTGAAGATCACATTAAAAAAAAAAAATAGGAAAAACAAAGCAGAAATGAAAAGATCAAGAAAGAGGAAGGTGCTTCCAGAACTGCTGGTTTATGATCTCTTTCCCATTAAGCCTACATGAGAGAAACCTGAGCTTCCTTCTTGAATACCTACAATGGAAGGCCATGGAAGCTGCGGGCATTTGTAAACTAGTGTGGCTCTGAGAAATAATTTAGGCTGATGCTTTGTCACCCATGGCCCACTACACATACAATGCTTTTGTATTCTCTTTTGTACCCGTATTAGCCAAAAAGGAGTGTGTGCAAGTCACACATCTTGCAGACTTTATTACAAAATTCAGGGCCTCCCCGGTGGCGCAGCGGTTGAGCGCTGGGTTGCGAAGCTGCCGGCGGCCTCTGCGACGCCGGTTCGATCCCCAGCTGCTCCCCGGCCACCGGAGGAGGGTCCCACATGGCGCGCAGACCTCTCCTGCTGCCCGCTGCTCCCCTCAGCAGTGTACTTCGGTCCTTCTGCCTGCTCTGCTCCCCGCTCTGGCTCTGGTGAATTCTCTCACCCTCCCGCGCTTCTGACTGTACCCAGTACATGTATAAACAAAACAAACAAACAAACAAATAAATAAATAAAACATGCCTCTATAAAAAAAAAATTCTTAAGGACATTTACATAGAATGGGCTTTTCAAATGACATGCCCTACTCCTTGCCCCGAGGAAGCCTTCAGATGCAGATCACTTACACCCTTCAGAATCCAATAACAAACTGACACAAACTTCTGACTCAGTGGGTCCCATCATCTCTATTCTAAAGTTCCTTCGTTCTTTAAGGTCCCCAGAGGTGGGAAGCCTCAAATGGAAGTAGAGACAGAAGGGGAGAGCCTCGCATCGTTCCTACATCCTGGTTTTCAGCCCCCACGGTCTGTAACTGGCTGTCACTAAGCCACCAAGATGGCAGGAGTAGTTAAGCAGGGATCTATTTGCAGATATATTTCTGCATCCCTACCAAGGAGGGCAGTATTCATGGTGATGATTCTGATCCTAGCACCCTGCAAAATCTGCAAGAGCCTCCTCCTGAGTGACCCCCAGATGAAACTATGACCAATGCAGGGCTGGGATAAAATACCTTAATTTTAAAAACCACCGGTCCACATACATCTTTTTTCGTAAAATGTTGAGAGATTTTTAGTAATCGTAATATTAGGAGCAAGCCAATGTCTGTGGCCGAGGCTTCCACCCCAGCCTGAAATCTGATAACCATAGATCATTCAGCTTCTGCCTCAAGCCTGCTCATTTTTCATTATTTATAGGTTGAATACTGATCTGGTTTCATAAAGAATTTGAGAAAGGTCTTCAAATTAATTCTATTAGGTTAAAGAGATCTGAATTTTTAAAATTAAACACTGTATTCCTTAATCATCCAGAGAACAAAATTTTTTATAATGCCCCTGCTGTGATGATTAAAAGTAAGAGCTAAAACAATAGAGTGGTATTTTAAATAATAGCTACTCTACTGAGTACTTACTATGTGTGCCAGGCACTCTACACAGCTTACCACCTCTCAGCAACCTTGGAAGGTAACTGGTCCCTGTTTAGATTAGGAACTCCCGCGTCAAGTCACTTGCTTAAGCTACACAGTAAGTGCTTGTAAAGAAAACTTCAACCTCTCCTGTGTTTTCCCTTTACTCAGCCTACTAACACAATCACAACCCCTCCAACACCAGATGTGAGGAGGGCTTTCCTCTACCAAGCAACTCCATGACACCAGAGGGGTGGCCTATGATTTATTCTGTTCTGACCCTGCCTACCTAGAGATAGCATCAGATCCCACAGGCGAAGGGCCCAGTCCCATGAGGCTGCCCCCCTCTTCAGATACCAATCGCAGGTAGGAGAGCTCCAGGTTACCCACAACTTCTGCCCGAGTTGGCTATGGATCAGAGGTTCCTATGATCTCTTCCTTCTTGGATTTCAATTATTTGCTAGAACAGCTCAGAGAACTCAGGGAAACACCTAATTACTTTTACCAAATTATTATATAATAAATGGTAGGACAAAGGATAGAGAATAGTCAGAAAAGATATCCACGGCAAGGTCTGGAAAGGTCCCAAGAATGAGAGCTTTGTGCCTGTGGAGTGGGGGTGCTCTACCCTCCCAGTACCTGGAAATGTTCCAACCTGGAAACTCTGAACCCTATACTTTTGGGATTCATGTAGACAGGATTGATCATTAACTCTGTTTCCAGCCCCACCCCCTTCTCTGGGTATTGGGAGGTAGAACTGAAAATTCCAAGTTGCTAATCATGATTTGGTTCCTTGAGTTCTATCCCACACCCAGGCGCCCTCCAGGGATGATGTTTTTTCTGGAACAAAAGACATTCCTATCAGCTATAGGATTTAGGAGTTCCATCAGGAACCAGGGTCAAAGACCAAACCTCAGGACAAAAGAGGTTCCTAGTGCTCTTATCACTTAGGAAATAACCAGTTTTAGGAGGACTGTGCCAGGAGCCAGGGGCAGAAACCAGTATATACATTTTCTATTACCTCACTATGTTGTAGCAGAGTTCTCATCTAAGGCCTGTGAGTTCTGATCCAAGTCGGCGCCCTCAGCACAATAATGGCTGCCTGGTCACCAGGTGCCCACCCTCCGGGTCAGTCACTCTCTCCTCTTCCATCAGCATCACTGCCCACCACCAAAACCCTCTAGATTTCTGCGGAGGAGCCTGTCTGCCAGCCCCCATGATAGCACATTCTGCTGCCTGCCTTTCCAAACATACCCATGATCCTGCGGATGGGGTCATCAGGACTGGCCACAGCCTGGATCTGGCCCTTGAGCGCGGTCTCCTTGTCTGGGGTGAAGGGGGTGAACCCACACAGGGAAAGGCAGCTGCTCACCTCCAGGCAGACTTTCTCCCCAACAGTGGTCAGGGCATCCTTCAGATGGAAGGAGCTAGAGAGCGAAGGAGAAGGAGAAGTTAGGGGAGGGGGCACAAGGGCACATCCAGCAGCACCAACAGCCCCACCCTGGATGAGGCACGACAGCCACTTACTCTTCCTGCCCTGGATGTTCTTAGGGCCAACAACCCCAAACCCAACTTCTTGCTAGCATCTCTGTGGTGAAATTGACTGAAACTGACTTAAGAACAGCTTGAACACCTCTGGGGCAATTCACAGAAAACCAGAAATTTGGAAGCTATGGGACAGCAGTAGGAGAGAAATTTTTCATTGGCTACTCTTTTGTCCCTTTTCATTTTTGAAGCACACTGAGTTTATAAACTACTTTAAAAGAATAAATAAAATGACCAAATATTAGGAAAATTATCACTTTGATTTTAGGCCCCCCAGCACTCCCAGAATGCTGTAGGGAGGAAGTGGCTACCTTTGTTCTGGGTCCCCACAGAGTTTTGTATGGTAGAGTTAGTGTAGCCAAGGAGCAAGCCTTGGGATGTACAGCTGGTACCAACTCTATGTCAGCCCCCACCTGCCAGGGCGGATGTGGCAGGACAAGGTTGGACTCCTGAGGAAGCACCAAACAGGTCCCCCTCACCAGAAGCTTTGATGGAGCAGTTCTTCTGGAGGACAACCTACATCTTGGTAGCAAACCTTTGAAAGCCACTAGCCTCGATCCTTGCGAAGCCTAGAGTTGATTCTAACTTTGGTCGCATGATCCTGAATAAATTGCTGGGTTTCTGCACTGTTTCCTCTCAGCTCCTAGAGAGAGGCCCTGGATTCCGCTTAACACTGGCAGACTCCCATTTCAGGCTTCTCTGTGCCTTCTGCTGCCTCCCCACCCCTCCATCAAGGTCCACTCCACAGCTCCCAGCCACTCACGGCAGATGCATATCTGTGAGCAGAATCTTCACAATTGTCTTGAGTTTCTCAGCAAAGCTAGCCTGGCTGGAAATTCCTGGGCCTGCCATGCTGAATGTAACCAGCAACACAGCTCCCAGGGTGGTCAGGTGCTCCAGCTGGAGTTGGAGCTCTTGGAAGCGAGACTGATCCATCAAAACTGTCTGCAATGAACACAACAGAAATCATCCCTGAGCTGCAGGTTGGGACTGGCCGGCAGAGGGCAGTGGGAACACAGTCCTCACACGAGCCTCCGGAGTCTCCCTCAGGACTATCTAGTTATTTCAGAGATAGAAGGAATATGTGTAAGTTCTTCTTCCATCTCAGAAACCCCTTTTTCTTTAAAAAGGTGCAGCAGCGCATACGCATTAAGAACCAGTGTCAATTCAGGCTCTGTCATTTACCAGTGGCATGACGTCATGCAAGTTTCTTCAACCATCTGAGCCCCACACAAAATGGGGATTCCTACTTCACAGAGCTGTCTTAAAGGTGATAAAAAGATCATGTATGTAAAATGGCTAGAAGATCCAACACTCAATTAGTAGTTCTAGCATTAGAAAGAATGAGATACACAACAAGGATGACAAACTCATTCCAGGTTGGCGGGGACCATTCTGGTTTTAAAACTAACTGCCAAGTCTTGTGAACTCTTTCAGGCCTGGGCAAACCAGGATGTCAGATCCACCCCCCCACCCAGAGCACTGGGCGGGAGGAATTCCTTGAGGACGGAGCCTATACTGACACCTTAGTATCCCCCTCAGCCCCTGGCACAAAGGAGGCCATCAGGAAGTGGTAAGTAAATAAAGAAAGAGAGAAGCAGTAAGCAGAATGAGGAATGACAGGAAACAACCCAAAGCTGCCTGGAAAGCAGTTAATGACCGCACCCCCCCACCCCCATGTTAAAGACACCCCAGGTCCTACAAGGCCAAAGTCTCCTGGTTGGAGTGAGGGAAGAGCAGCAGAAATGTTGAGGAGATATGACTTCTGAGTTTTTACTGGTTAATCAAATACACTTTAAGGACCATCTTGCTGGAAGAATGTGAGACACACTAAACCAAGATGTTAACAATTTGGCCTCTTAACACAGAATTCTTTTCAAGGTGTCAAAGCTATCTTTGGAGACCGAGACTCTTCTGTTATTGAACAGATGCTTCAGCAGCTCATCAGCTTCTGTTTTCACTTCACTTTGTTACATGGCTGCATCCTGGCTCTGAGGCCTCCCGATGGTTTGCAGTGCTTCAGTTAGGAAGCAAAAGATTTCCAAGGATTGATTCTGAGATTACACATCCGTCCTCAGTGAAACACCATCTCCTCACAGCTGTACTTCAAGAGAAATGTCAGGATAAGAACTGCCCTTCAGGAGAAAATATGCCACTCTTCAGAAAACATAACCTTCCTTTCCCACTTTGACATCTTCTCCTCTGGCACAGGGAACTCAGAGGCAAGAGGTAAAGCCTGGGGTTTACAACATCTTAAAAGGGAACTCAGATGAGAAAGATATTTAGAGAAGTAGCAGGATCTCAGGCTAAAGATAAGAAACCAGAGTGTCCTCAAAAGAGATGGGACATCTATATACCAAACCAACTATTGAGGAAAAGATGGGGGAATCCCTCATTAGTCATCCCCTTAAAGGACAGAAGTGCAGTCAGAAGTACTTGCTGTGAGCTCTCTTGCTTGGCTGTAACTCTCCAGGTACCTCTTTAATTCTTTCTCCTTTTCTTAATAAACCTGCCCTTTTAAAATGTAAAAAAAAAAAAAGCTGAGTAATATTCCATGTGTATAAGGACTAGAGTCAAAATAAGTGGGGGGGGGGTGCAATTGTATGGGGAATATAACCAAAATGAAAATGCATACATTGTGCAAAGATGAAAAAAGATGTAAGAATTATATAAAATAAAATATTTAAATAAAAAAAAGCACTTGTTGTAAAAAACAAAAACATCACTCCACATAGGAGGGTGAGAAGTTTCCTTAGATAAAATTAAGAAGCAATACCACTATTAGGGTTTTAGTCAAAATGAATAAAAACAGGACAGAGGTTCAAAAGCACAAATTAGGAAATCCCATACAATACTGGTAGGACTGTAAAGTGATGTAGTTGCTTTGGAAAAGTTAACAGTTCCTCAAAATGTTAAACTTAGAGTTGTGACATGACCCTAGGGACATACCCAAGAGAAGTAAAGACAAATGGCATGCCAAGCCTTGCACACAAAGGTTCACAATTCACAATGACTGAAAACTGGGGACAATCCCCAAATCTTTATCAACTGATGAACAGATTAACCAACTGCAGTAAGGCAAATCAGTATTTTAGGGAATGTTACCCAGCCTTAAAAAGGAAAGAAATACTGACATATGTTACAACATGGATTAACCTTGACGCCTTTACAGTAAAATAAGCCAGTCACAAAAGGAAAAATACTGTATGAGGTATGTAGAATAGTCAATTCCATAGAGACACAAAGTAGAATGATAGTTGCCAGGGGCTCAGGGGAGAGAGGAATGAGGAGAGAGTATTTAAAGGGTACAAAGTCTCTCAATGTCTGAAGAAGGAGAAGTTCTGGAGAGGGATGGTGACACCGGCCACACAACCATGTGAATGTACTTAACGTTACTCAACACTTAAATTTTCTGTTGTATTTTACCACAATAAAGATAATACTACCAAAAATAAAAAAATGGAAATGGAGAATTGGCACAGGCTGCCACAGGAATGAACATAATACTTAGTGAAAGAAGCCAGACACAAAAGGTCAACATTGTGGGACTCCACTGATATGAAATATCCAGAACAGGCAAATCCAGAGACAGAGAGGAGTTAGTGGTTGCCAGGAAGTCAGGGCGGGGCGGGGTGGGCAGAGGGGAGGGCAGTGATTGCTAATTGGATACAGGGTTTTCTTTTTGGGGAGATGGAAATGTTCTGAAATTAAATAGTGGTAATGGCCCCATAATGCTGAATACATTAAAAACCACAGAACTGCACATTTTAAAAGGGGTAATTTTCTGGCATGTGAATTTTAACAAAACAATTTTTAAAAGTTCAGTAGCACAAAAAGAAATGAGCGGTTAGGCTGCTGGAGCACCTACTTCTGGAAAAGGTCTCCGCAGGTGGTCCCATCTCAGAAGTTTCAGGTATGCATAATTCTGGACAGCGACGGGATTTGTCCTGGGAGCATCCCCAGAGCCAGCAGCCCCTTCCCCAGCTGGCAGGGAATTTTTATATTTCTGATTCATAAGATCATCCGCAGCTTCTTCTAGCCACTGGGTGACAAAGTCCAGAGAATCTGAAAAACAAGGCTGAGCATGTTACTATGGCGCTTGGGGGGTGTCCAGGGAAAGCATGCTGGAGGTGTGGCGCAGAACACAGGGTGGACTTTGGAATCAAATATAGAACTTGGTTCAAATCACATCACCAACTACTGTGAGTAGTTGGCAAGTCATGAGCTGTCTGAGTATCAAATTCCTAACATAAAGACATGCTCACCACCCCTCATAGGCTGTTGTGCGGATGAAACAAGAGAGTAAATACAAAGCACCAGCGGTTGCCCCTTTTGCTCTCTTCTGTCTGGCCCTGACCACTGCGTGAGTCCCGCTCTGTGAGATGACAGACATCCCTGCTCAGAGACAGATGGGATGGAACACTGGCTAGAGTGACCCAGGGTAAAGTATCCCCCAAACTAAAGAGGAGGCTTTTCCTTGCCTAGATCTTGCTTCCAATGAATCCGGCTGAGTTAGGCCCCAAGGGAGGGGAGGTGCAGGTGTCTGATATGCATTACAGTGTTCAGGGCACTTTCAGGGAAGACTCTCAACTGGTTTTCATCCACCATCATGCTCCCTCTGCTTTTGGAATCAGAGCAATGCCCCAGGGACTCTGAGGGATACCAGAGAAAGAAGATAAGGTTCTTGTCCACAGTACTTGATCAAAAATTGTCTCAGTTAGATCCTGGGAAGTCTTGCCCCTTAAAACCAAGCAGGCAGCCAAGGTCATGGCTATAGTCCATTCTTCACTGAGGCTAGGGGACATGCTTCTGGCTCTGTTAACAGACAGACTGCACCAAGTCTTGGTTCTGAGCTTCACTCTCCCTTTAGCTTTCTCTGCGGCCCACCACATTTGGGAGGCCTGGGTTTTTTGCTGTGAGAAATAACCACTACACTCTGACTGGCCCACTCTTATTCTGGTGCTTCATCATTCCTGGGAGCCCAGCTGCTGGCATCCAATTCTCATACTAAGGCTCTTATAAAACTGCAACCCTCGTGTTCCCCAGAAAAGCAACACAACGCTGGCTGAGAATATGGGCTGGTCAGTCAATTCTGGTTAAGTCTCTCAAAAGCTGTTTCCACAAATGTAAAACAGGGTTAAGAAATAGTGCCCACTTGCTAGACCAACTGTGTGTGAGTTAAATAGAAGGCAATTCTCCCCTGGCATGATTAGCAAACCCACTCTACCTCCTTCTACTCTGCTCTTCCTGACTCATGTCAGCAGCATCAGACTTCCCTGTCTGGAGCTGGATGAAGAACTGCTCAGGTCACTGAAGTCTGAAGTCAGTATCAGGCCAGACCACCCAGTCTACCTAGGGACCATCATGTTCACCTAGTGAGCAGCAAAGTTAGAGGCAACCCAGAACTCAGGATAAATTAGATCTGAAGACCGCTATTTTCTCAGCACATCAACTGTCATGCAGAGACCCAAAAAAGCATCCTAGAAATGCAGCAGCATTTTGGATTGTATGGTCATCTGTTTTCCTACAGTCATCTGAGAGTCACAAAAATGAGCCTTTTTCTGGGTGTGAAACCAGAATATGATACATATAAAATAGAAGCAAAGTAGAATCTTGATTGACCTCACAGAAAGGAGTAAATTAAACAGCCATAAGAAGTGTGTCATGTTTTTAAAATCAAGATCCCACACACGATTTATCTAAAATTCCTATTCTTTTTTTTTTAATTAATTTTTAACTGAGGTAATATTGGGATACCCCCTTAAAGTTCTATTCTATCTTCTTTTAAATTTCTAAGAGACAAATTTCTTTGTCTCTCCTGTTTGCCAATTAAATTTTCTTTTGTCTTGTGCTTTTCTGTCATCATTTTGTTTTGAAAGCAGTATCGCTATGTGACAAGCTACTAAAATGAAAAAGCACAGACAACAGAGAGCACCATGAAACCTTAGACATACTCGGCTGCTTCTCCAAAAGTTCTTGGAACTTTGTCCTCTCATAGTCCACTGACTGCTGCATGAGGTGGGGCCGGATGCTGCTGACAGCGAAGTTTGCCATGTCCACTTTCATCAGGTCCAACACAGAAAAAATTGCTCTAAAAGAAAGACACAGATGAGTTTAGAATTGGGCACTGAGAAGTAAATAGTATTTTATTTATTTATTTATTTATTTTTTATAAAGAGGCACGTATTTTATTTATTTATTTGTTTGTTTGTTTGTTTATACAAGCACTGGGTACAGTCAGAAGCGCGGGAGGGTGAGAGAATTCACCAGAGCCAGAGCAGGGAGCAGAACAGGCAGAAGGACCAAAGTACACTGCTGAGGGGAGCAGTGGGCGGCAGGAGAGGTCTGCGTGCCATGTGGGACCCTCCTCCAGTGGCCGGGGAGCAGCCGGGGATCGAACCGGCGCTGCAGAGGCTGCGGGCAGCTTTGCAACCCAGCGGTCAACCGCTGTGCCACCGGGGAGGCCCGTAAATAGTGTTTTAAAGGAAAGAGGTGAGTCACTTAGCCAGTTCTTTTCAACTCAGAAAGAGCAGCAAGACAAGTTAAAGAAAAATATCGGATGGTCTCATAGCAGAAATTTAGAAAACCTAAATAAGGGATCAGGAAAAAGACTAATTATAATAAAGTAAAAATCAAAATCAACAAGCAACTATAAACCAGAGACACAGTACAGGGAGGGGGGGGGTAGGAGGGATTACGGTCAAAATAAGGGGGGTGGGAATTGTATGGGGACTATAACCAAGATGAAAATGCATACATTGTGCAAAATGAAAACTGATGTAAAAAATACATAAAATTAAAAAAAATGAGGATGCTGAGGAAGGAAGGGAGGAGAGCGGGAGGGAGGGAGGGAGCGAGGGAGGGAGGGAGGGAGGCAAAATCACGGGCCTCCCTTGTGGCACAGGGGTTAAAGTCTCAGTACTATCAAGCTATTCCCAGTCACTGCAGCACGAGTTCGATCCCCAGCCAGCCAGGGAGCTACCCACATGGTGTGGCAGACCTCGCCTGTCTCGCCCGCTGCTCCCCTCAGCAGTGTATTTCTGTTGTCTGCCTGTTCTGCTCCCCACTCTGTCTCTGGTGAGTCCTCTCACCCTCATCCCATATCTCTGGCTTGTACTCCAGTTCTTGTATTCATAAATAAATAAAATAAATCTTAAAAAAGAAAAGAAAAACAAATTCAGGAAATACCAAAACTTAATGGTTTGAAAAGATCATAAGCTGCTGTCTCTACTCACCCAGGCTTTGTCCCCTAGCAAAGAGAATCTGCCTCCCCCCGGCCCACTGCCTGTCTGGTCCAGAACATGTTCTTGGCTCTCATGACAGCACAGAGGAAGGACGGAGTCCAAAACCTTAGATTTTACTGCAGGGATCTCCCCACCTGGTCTTTACTCTCACTCACGTATGTTTATCCACTATCCTAGCAAGGAAAGAAAATAACACTTCATTCTCCTCTCTTCTCGCCCCAGTGTCTCTTAGTTTTAGGGCACGCTTTATGCTCTAGTTCTAGTAGCATAATTGCTATTTCACACTATGAATGTAGCCAATGGGCGGCCTGGACTGATGCCAAGGATGCCATCAGCCCTGTCTGCCACATACCAGAAACACTCTCCCCAGAGGCTGGCAGCAGACAAGTGACCTACTTGCAGGAGGTGCCTAAGAACTCAAGGTACAGACTCTGGTGTGGCCCTACACAGATGCAGGAACAGGCTCAAATGTCCTCCAAGTCCTCTGATGCCCTCTGGGATGAACTGAACATCATGTGACAAAATAAACTCGTTCACACAAAAGGCCACTATGCATTCCTCACAATCTGAGGAATGATTCAGGGCCATTCCCCTGCCATTCTGTCCATCTCCTAAACACATGGGACAGTCCATTTCCTGCAGGACATTCTGACACTCCCTTAAGTGTATACCCAAAAGCCTCCTAACCCAGCAACAGGAAAGCAGAAACTACTGGAAACTGTCAAGTGGCAGTCACTGACTGGAAGTAACCTACAAACACATATTGTGCACAGACAAGGTTTTTAAAAAGCTTGCATTCCAGGTTCTCTTGTAAAAAATCCAAAGATCTGGCAAGAGGGCCCATATTCTATCATGGCCCAAATCAGCTGGCACTGAGAAGCATTGGCTGCCTCCTTTGGATTGGGGGGTGTGCCCAGTATGCCAGTCTTCCCAGGCCCTTCTCTTTACAGTAGGAATCTGAGTTTAGGATGGCTTGCCACAGATATTTCACCAGAGGACTTTCTTCCAAGGAATTCCTCACTTAACTTGGTTACATCACAAGGTTTTATTTACTATTTTATTTCTAGCATCTAGCACTATGCCTAGCACAAAAGAGGTGTTCGATAAGAGCTTCTAAGTGAATGAACAAATCAATAGCTATTTTAAGAGGTCTTTTCAATGCTTTATAAACCCTTAGGTAACCTTACAATGCAGGGTGTTTTTCGTGTGTGTTAACTATCTATAGTATAATAATATCAAGAAAGCTGGAAATGAGCTTTTTTTTTGATTATGAAACTTTTAGAAAGCAATTTGGTAACATGTAATGAGTCTTGAAACTTTATATACCCTGACACAGTAACCCTCCATTTTATGAACATTTCTCTAGGAAATAACCTAAAATATAAAAGAAAGTTTTATGTACAAAGATGTTCATTACAGAGTTAAATAGTAAGTAACTATACATAATCTAATTGTCCATATTAATGGATAAATGAAATGATTATGGTAATATTAATATGAAAGTTAGGCCTGTAATGTCTACTAGGAGGAGGTCTTCTTAGGTTCAAGCGGACTTTCAGACTTCTAAAACTACCATAAGGGTCAGGTTTAGCATCATCCAGTCACACAGCTTGCCAACTGGTCAGCACAAAGCATTTGTCTTCAGCAAGTTATGATACTGGCCATGAACAGATAACTCAGACACATGGGTATCACCTGGCTTAAAAGTCTCCTGTCTCAATATATTTTGTAACAATTCTATGGCAAGTCTTCTAGGTATGCATTAGGGGCACAGCCAGTTAAATTATGGGGTGGGGGCGGGAGAGGGAAGGATTGGGGTCAGAATGGGCATTTGCAATTGTGGGGGAATATAAAAATAAAATTTAATATTTAAAAAAAAAAAAAAAAAAAAGAACCAACACCAAAAAAAAAAAAAAAAAAAAAAAAAAACTGATTGTTTTTTCAAGGAAAAAAAAAAAAGATGGACATATTAAATGAGATGTTAAATAAAAAAAAAATGCAATCATAAAAAAAAAAAAAAAAAAAAAAAAAGTTATTCCACTGGAGAAATCCAAAGTATGATGTTCAATCCAGAATTTATAGTTTTGGATTTATAGTTTTCATTCCTTTCAATCCAAATGCAATTTACCAATCAGAGATCATTTTCAAAAGACCAAAGGAATTTAATGTTAACCATATGTTATTTAATAGGATTAATATAAATGTTAAATTTCTTAATTGTCTTGGTTGTTATTTTGATGATTTTGGAGAATGTCCACATACTTAGGTGATACCTGCTGAAGCATTTAAGGGTAAAATGTCATTATGTAAGCCATTAATTCTCAGAAGGTTCAGGGAGAAAAAAATTCAAGCATGTATATATTCACACATAAATTTTAAAAAATTGACAAAATGTTAGAAACTGGTGGATTTATATAAGAGATATAAGTATTGATTGTACTGTTTTTGCAACTTCTCTGTTTGCAATTTTTCAAAATAAAATGTTTAGGGGAAAAAAATACCTAACTATATAATTATAGGCCTCCCTGGTGGCACAGGGAGTTGAGTCTCAGCACTATGAAGCTATCAGCAGCCACTGCAGCATGAGTTTGATCCCCAGCCCGGGCTCTGGCCCACATTGTGCAGCAGACCTCTCCTGTCGCGCCCACTGCTCCCCTCTGCAGTGTATTTCAGTGGATCTGCCTGTTCTGTTTCCTGCTGTCTCTGGTGAATCTTCTCACACTGCCCCCCCACATCTCCCAAACACACCTCAGGCCTATACCCCAGCTCTTGTGTGCACAGAATGAATCTTAAAAAATATATATTATATATATATATATATATATAAAATATATATATAGTTATATAGTTACATAGTTATATAGTTATATATATATGCCAATGTGATACCAGGGTGGTAAAATTGTGGGTATTTTTATGCCTTTGGGTGGTAAAATTATGGGTATTTTTCTTCTTCCTATTCTTTTATATTTTACAAAATGTTTGCTTTTTAAATGTTTTAAAGATGCATGAGTACCTATACTTAAGAAAGTCTAAATCTGAAAATAGGGTCAGTAGTTTAAGTGCACTGATGGTACTTAACGCAGTTCCCATACCTAAAAAGGGGCACTATTTCCTTAATGTCCTTTAGTTTCTTCACTTCCTCATCTCGAGCAGGTGCACATAGTGTCCCCATCATGCCAGTAATGAATTCTGCCAGCTTGGAAATGTCCAGGGCCCCATTTTCAGCCTCCTGCTTTATCAGATCCAGATCCAAGACTTCTGTTATCTGGTTTCTCAGTCTAGTGTGACCAGGCAGCAAGAAAGATAAGAGAGTCTACAAGAGAGCACAACTGAGTTTAATCAAAGTTTCCTAGGCAGACATAACTCTTTATTATAAGCAGTAGAATTTACAACTGTCCAAGTAAGGGTTTACCAATTATTACTATAATATTGCATACATTTTAACCTCTTCTTCAATAAATCTACAGAAAAACACATTTACAAATCATTTAGACCAGTCATTTAAGCTGCCATTTAAGGTCCTAGGTAGCAAGCAACTGGACACAAGATGAAAATTTTGTTAAAAGTGAGAAAAGGGGCCTCCCTGGTGGTGCAAGGGGTTAAGACGCAATCTATGAAGCTATCAGCAGCCACTGCAGCAGGAGTTCGATCCTGAGCCTGGGAGCTACCCACATGGCGCAGCAGACCTCTCCTGTCTCGTCAGCTGCTCCCCTCAGCAGTGTATTTCAGTCACTCTGCCTGTTCTGCTCCCCACTCTGTCTCTGGTGAATCCTCTCACCCTCCACACATCTGGCCTGTACCCCATTCTTGTATGCATAAATAAATAAATCTTTTAAAAAATAAAATAAAAGTGAGAAAAGGAAAACATGAATTGACATGAAACTCTGAGCCAACCACAGATGCCAGTTTCTATGGATATATTACTTCTTGGATACTATGGCTAAAGGTACTGCAGAAACAGTCCTACCTTCCACTTAATGTCTTCTCTATCCCACAGACTGAATCACTTTTTGGCCAAAATGAACGTGTCCATACCTATTAAAAATTTTATAAGTCACCTATATTTTGTAAAATAACTTGTTTAAAGCATTGTTGTTGGTCTTTTAAATGAATTTTTTCTTCATTTACAACAGTAATGCCTTCAGGTTACCATAGCTTGTTTGAAAATTTAATAAGGCTAGTAAGACAAAAATATTCCTATAAATCCACATTTCGCAAATAATTTAACTTCTTGATCCTTCTATTTCTTTAGTCTTCTTGGCACAAAACAAAAAAAGAGTTTGGAAAGTACTTCTAGCACACCAGGAAAGCGCCACAATTTGCTTTTCCCCTCACCTCTTTGATCTCTCCAACAAGTTTGATGGCATGGTCATATGTTGGGGGATCTTCACTTAGCTGGACACTCAAGCAATCCCAAAAAGCTTTATGTACAATATCCTTTACTCTTTTCTCCAAGCTGGAGGCAAATAAGGGTGGGGGGAAAGGTAAAACAAATAAAATACTTGAACCTTAAATAAGTTTCAAAAGCACAAACTTTGTGGGCTCAGGGTAAGAAATTTTTCAAATAAAATGGATGAAACAATGATTTCTCAGACATACTTAAGTCAATCATTACTTTTAGTTAGTGATTTATTTCAGTAAATAGCACTTAGGAAAGAACAACTTTTAAATAATTTGAGAGATGACATAATCCAATTAACAATATGTAACAGTGCCATGTGATAAAAAGAATGTTGGAAAGTTTAAAACCATTAATTTTTAGTTTCCTGATATCAGCAAGTTTCCTAAGAGGTCCATGATTAAGAAATTTAAAGTAAAAATTCAGCATGTATAATGGGCTGAAGAACTTTACTTTATAAAAACAGCCTATTTCCATGTGGTATATGGGACTATTGCTTGATTAAGTACTAAACTAAAAAATGCACATATAAATCTCATTAAAACTAGTTTCTCTTCATGAAAGTAAAATGAGGCTTCTAATGAAATAATGAAAATTATTAAGGTGCAGAGTACTGTCTTTGCAAAACATAAGGAATGTCCATGTTCACATTTAGAAGCCTCATATGGGAGACACTATAATTTGGCAATTCAGCAGCCATTCATTCTTTGTTAATAGAATCTCAGTATTTTTCATGACATTTTTGCAATTATAATGGGCAATGTTTTTTCTTTCTTAGGACAATACATTTTAAAAGGCACACCTTACAATCAACAGAGTTTTAGATTCAGTGCGATCTGGTGCTAGGGGTACATAAAATAAAGCACAGTCTTTGTCTATGTAGAGTTTACAATCTGGTGAAGAACAAAAAACAACTGCAGTACAATGTCAGAACTACAAAGAAATGAATAAAATGAAGCAATGAAAACACAAAATGAAGGAGCTAAATCCTATGGAGTAGGGAGAAGCTGACAAGAAAGATTTCCATGGGAGATTTCAAGACCTTTTATTTATATTTTGAAGTATCAGTGGTCAAGAGATCCACTATCAAGCTCTAGTGATTCCTAGTATGGAATATATATATACATACACACATATATATACATATATATGTGTGTGTGTGTGTGTGTGTGTGAGGTGTGTGTATTTTAGCAACAATATACAAAAAGGAAATATACATTTAAATATATTGACATCCGGGCCTCCCCGGTGGCGCAGCGGTTGAGCGCTGGGTTGCGAAGCTGCCCGCGGCCTCTGTGGCGCCGGTTCGATCCCCAGCTGCTCCCCGGCCACCGGAGGAGGGTCCCACATGGCGTGCAGACCTCTCCTGCCGCCCGCTGCTCCCCTCAGCAGTGTACTTCGGTCCTTCTGCCTGCTCTGCTCCCCGCTCTGGCTCTGGTGAATTCTCTCACCCTCCCGCGCTTCTGACTGTACCCAGTGCATGTATAAACAAACAAACAAACAAACAAACCAGCAAACAAATAAATAAAAAGCATGCCTCTATAAAAAAAAAAAAATATTGACATCCAGTAAAGAAAACATTTCCAAAATTGGGAAATAGTGGTGTTCTACCAAACGAGACTGCTCAATAGCCTCCTTACCTGTCTTCCGGTAATTCAACTGGTTTAATCCGAAAGTCTCCATTGACCACAATTTCATGGGCTAGCGCCATGTTAGTGACTCCCTTCACAGTCTCTACAAGCTCTTCAACAGTCACAAATTGAGGAGGACTAGCTGTAACAAAAAACCAGGGTAAGAGATCTGCTTCTCTGTGTTAAAAATTTCCTTCCTTCCTTCCTTTCTCTCCTTCCTTCCTTCCTTCCTTCCTTCCTTCCTTCCTTCCTTCCTTCCTTCCTTCGTCCTTCCTTCCTTCCTTCCTTCCTTCCTTCCTTCCTTCCTCTTCCTTCCTTCCTTCCTCCTTCTTCCTTCCTTCCTTCCTTCCTTCCTTCCCTCCCTTTCTTCCTTTCCCTTTCTTTCTTTCTCTCTCTCTTTCTTTCATTTATTTATGTATACAAGAACTGGGGTATAGGCCACAGGAGTATGGGATGGTGAAAGGATTCACCAGAGACAGAGTGGGGAACAGAGCAGGCAGATTGACAAAAATACACTGCTGAGGGGAGCAGTGGGTGAGTCAGGAGAGATCTGCTGCGCCATGTGGGTCAGCTCCCTGGCTGGGGATCGTACTCTTGCTGCAGTGGCATAGGACAGCTTCATGGGTTGTGTCTTAACCCCTTGCGCCACCAGTGAGGCCCTCTATGTTAAATTTTCTATCAAAACAGGAGAAAGCAGTGGTTCTGGCACCCGCTAATCATTTTGATTCAGCCTTTATTTATGAAAATATTTGGGTAGTTTCCAACAGTATAATATCACTTATGTCATACTTATTTTTTTTAACCTTGAAATTCTGAAAGCAGAGATCATTCACAATACAAAAAATATGTTTTATGTTTCTTTTTTACTAATACCAGTCAATGAAAAATACTTACAGTAAACTGATATGCAGAAAAACTTTTTAGAGATGAATATTTCCCCAATCCACTGAGGGTTTCTTTCCTAATCCCTTTCATGCCTGTTTGTCCTAAATCAAAAAATGAGACACCAGCTTTATGATTCCCTCTTTTGCTTCTACCAGCAGTTTATCATTTGTACCACCACTAAAACTGTGTCATGGCTGAGTCTCTCTAAATGAATCTTCCCAAATTAAAATAGTAACAAATACCTCAGGGTACCAGGTGCCATTTAAAGGACACTTAAACCACTACCGCATACAGGACACTAAGACAGAATATGAGACTTCTGAAGCTGACCTGTGAGTAAATCAAAGAATTTTGTAGAATGAGGCCCACTGAATCAATGTTTCATAATTATCTCTGATTCTGATAAATCTTCAGATTTACCTTCCAGAAAGTTCTCATACAAATTTCCTCAGGTGTTCTGAGCCAAGGAACAAAGATAATTCATATTCTTAAAAAGTCTATGAGAAAATATAGGGGTTTTTTGTATAGTAGTTATACCTCAATAAAGCATTAAGAAAATCATTTTTAGCGGGGCCTCCCGGGTGGCGCAGTGGGTTGAGCAACGCACTGTGAAGCTGTCTGCAGCCTCTGCAGAGCGGGTTCAACCCCTGGCCGGCCAGGGAGCAACACACATGGCACAGCCCACCTCTCCTGCCTTGCCTGCTGCTCTCCTCAGCAGTGTCATCCCTCTGCCTGTTCTGCTCCCCGCTCTGTCTCTGGTGAATTCTCTCACCCTCCCACACCTCTGACTGTACCCCAGTTCTTGTATAAATAAATATTTTTAAAAATTGTTTTAAAAAAAATCACTGTTAGCAATTTTTTAGTAATTATTTGAATCAGATGGAGGGGTTGTGTAACCAGATTGCTGGACCCACTTTTAGTCTATGATTTAGCAGGTCTGGGGGGGCTGGAGCATCTGTACTTCTCAAATCTCTAGTTAATTCCCATGGTCCCAGAAGCTGTACTTTCAAAAGCACTGGCCTAGAAGGTGACTATATTAACTGCATGTGATGGTGATAAAATCTGGGCTTAAAATGAGAGAAATAATATCACTGGTTTGCATAGCTTTAATAACTGTGAAGACTTTCTTAGGTTAATGAAAAGTTATTTTTCCTCTTCTTTCTTTCACCTTAAAACAAAAAAAGGAACCAAATCTAAGTTGTCATATTTTATCTAGTAAAATTCTTTATTTGGTCCCATAAGGGGAAGTTGGGAAAACGCACAAAAGTCTCCTCAATATTTACAGATTTTTTTAAACATTTCAAAAGGACAGGTTTATTAGGGAAAGGAGAGAGAAAAAGAGGCACCTGCATAGTCATAGATGGGCAGGAGAACTGCTGCTCCTGTTTTGCAAAGGGAAAAGGTTTGTGGAAAAAAACACTTGCATAGTCACAGGCTGGCAGGAGAGCTGCCCATTTCCAGATAACATTAATTTACAAGAAATAAATAAATAAATTTGCTTCATGGATATGGTAAGGTCATTTTGGGAGGCATAGTAGACAAAGGCATGCAGGTTTAAGCTCTGCCTTCTCTTTAAAAAAAAGGTAACATTAGGTCTTCCCAGTACATACTCTTACATATAAATAAACTTTCAAAAGCAAGTTCCACCCAGCCATCACAGCCCATATTTGGGGCAAAACAACTTGTACTAAGTGCTGAGAACATCAGAAAACTAGGAAGAAAGTTTTCAGGAGCTGTCCAAGCTAGAAACTATTTAAAATCAGATTAATGGAGGGTATACCACAAAGATAAAAGCTACAATTTTAGGATACCATCAGAAAATGTTACAGATGTACAAACACAGGAAGTATTCACTGCATGCTAATTATAGGGTTGTGGAGTAGGTTTTTAAATTTTTTGAGAATTCTCAAAGTTACCAATTCATATGTGAAAACTTACAAAGATGCGGTTTGGTAGGCAACATGGCTTCACCTCACCTTGTGAGGCAAACCTGAGATATAACAGCTGAAAAATGTAATGTTATATGTGTTTTACCCTGGGATTTATTTTACTGTGAATAAAGATGAAGCTGTTGCTAAATTTTGTTACATTTGTGTACTGATGCCATCAGAAAAACTGAAACCCACATCAAATTAAACATGTTCTTTGGGAGAAGATTTCAGTGAACAGATTCCAAAATAAAATGAATGTCTCATTTAGAACGGTCATACTCTACCTTTTTTCTACTTAAGGTGTTCTGGAATCTGAGAAATTGGTACACTCTAAAGAGATGCTTAAAGTCATACAAATTGGTGGATATTTATGGAGGACAAGTGGCAGATGTCACCCAAACAGCCTATAAGATGAGTGTGGTAAAATAAGGGTAAAGCTTATTATACCATTTGGAGATTGTTACTTATCTTCTGCACTAGACTGCAAACTCCATGAGGAGCTAGTTCACTACTGGATCCCTGATACACAGTATGCACTCAAAAAATATCAACTGGTGTCTGGATACAGATACCAACATTCAAAATCTAGTCCTGCGCTTTAGAAATGTAGAAAGGTTGTATCATCTATTTGTCTATAAGTATGACCGGGATCTATTAAACTCACAAGATTCTGATTTAAAAAAAAAATGCTGGGCCTCCCTGGTGGCACAAGGGGTTAAGTCACTATGAAGCTATCCACAGCTACTGCAGCACGAGTTCAATCTCCAGGCAAAAAGCTGTCCACATGGCACAGTGAGCCTCTCCTGTTTTGTCTGCTGCTCCCCTCAGCAGTGCATTTCTGTGGGTCTGCCTGTTCTGTATCTGGTAAATCCTCTCACCCTCCCGCACCTCTGGCCTACATCCCAGCTCTTGTATGCATAAATAAATAAACCTTTAAAAATTAATAAAATAACACCTGGGGGCCTCCCTGGTGGCCTATAGGTTAACTCTCAGTGCTATCACTGCAAAAGCCCATCCCTGCAGCCTGAGTTCCATCCCTAGCCAGGGAGCTAACCCACATGTGGCACAGTAGACCTCTCCTGTCTCACCTGCTGCTCCCCTCAGCAGTGTATTTCAGTAGATCTGCCTGTTCTGCTCCCCAATCTCTCTCTGGTGAATCCTCACACCCTCTGCACTTCTGGCCTGTACCCCAGCTCTTGTATGCATAAATAAATAAATTTTTAAAATAACACATTGATGTTTTTCATCTGACTACGGTATTTTTTAACTGGTCAACTAGGCTATTAAATGCTAGAGATAGAGATGCTCTGTGAGCAGGGAAGGAAAACATATAGAAGTAGAGGGTCACAGAAGGAACAACAGGAAATCACAGTTCACTGAAGCTTACACTGGGATCTCTACATTTAAAGAAGAGATCATCCTTTAGAATGAAACTACCTTGGATTAGTGAGAAACAATTCTTCCAGCTTTCCTTTTCAATTTCTATTTCCTTTTTCATTAGTCTGTATCAGTTACTAAAAGTTCTGTACCCAAATTTGAACATGTGAGTATGTGTGCTTAGGGCAGGCTTTCCACACCACCAAGTATTCTTTGACATCAGCTGAGTGCCCTACAATTCAGCTCAAGTCTGGTACTCCCTACCTGGAGGTAGCGTCAGACCCCAGAGGATAAGGAAATAGTCCCGCAAACTACCTATGCCCCCACACTTCAGATACCAGTTTGTCGCAGTATAGAGTGTCACCTGTGCTTGCAGATTTCCAAGGTTCCAACAACTCCTCCTTCAATTAATTTGCTATAGTGGTTCACAGAACTGAGCAATGTTTTACTTACTAGATCACAGCTCTATTATAAAAGGACAAAACTCAGGAACATCCAGATGGAACAGATGTATAGGGCAAGGTATGGGAAGCAAAGAGCTTCCATGCTTTCAGAGCAAGCCACTGTCCCAGCACTCCAGGTGATCACCAACTGAGGGCTTGATCCCCAGACTACGGGGTCTTAACTTTACTACTGGGGCTTATAGCCCTGCAGTTACCTATTACTACAAGGAGAAAGAAGCAAGGAAGTTAGAAGGAATAATTCGGGGCTTTAATTGTGAACCTCATTTTGGTATAGACCTCTATGAGAATTTAATGACAGCTTCCATGATCCTCCCTAGAGGATCTAAAAAAACATACACAAACAAATATTGGCACACTTTTTTTGGTTGTTCTGAATCCTCTAAAAGGATTCCGGATCCCAGAGTAAGGATCATGGATCCCAGAGTAAATACTCCGGCCTTAAGGGCATAACTACAAACAAGTTTAGATAATGTAGCATAGAGTTGACTTGACATCACTTTGGAGTCATGCCATCAGACTGACAGGACACCAAAGGCAAACCATCAATCAAAGAAGGACTAAAGAGGGCCTCCTCAGTGGCGCAGTGGTTGAGCGCTGGGTTGCGAAGCTGCCCGCAGCCTCTGCAGCACTGGTTCGATCCCCGGCTGCTCCCCGGAGGGGAGGTCCCACATGGAGGAGGGTCCCACATGGCGCTCAGACCTCTCCTGCCGCCCGCTGCTCCCCTCAGCAGTGTACTTCGGTCCTTCTGCCTGCTCTGCTCCCCGCTCTGGCTCTGGTGAATTCTCTCACCCTCCCGCACCTCTGACTGTACCCAGTGCTTGTATAAATAAATAAATAAATAAATCTTTAAAAAAAAAAAAAAAAAAAAAAGGACTAAAGATCTAAACTAAAGATCCTCCTTTATCAGAAACTGTAGATGATAAAACCATCAAGTTAGTTATATACTTTCACATTACAGCAATCAGTCTTGGTATCTTTAATGCAACAGATAACATGCTATTAGAAGCAGTATTAGCAACAAATTATTATCAAGCCTTTATTATGTGTCAAGCACATTCTAAGTGCTTTATATTAATTCACTTAATCTTTACAACCAGCCTAAGAGAGAAGTGTATTTTCCTCATTAAAAAAAAATGAGAAAACAGAAGCTTTCTAACAGTCATATTGGAAACAAGGCCTAACACATGGATGTTAGGCTATGTTATTAATGGCATGTTCTCTGAACGCTATTGTCCAGTAGTGTATTCATTAAAATGATGTGATAATAGACCACAATAAAATGGAATCCACTAATGTTGGCTGTTAAGAACACTGTGTTTTCTAATAAATTACCTGGGAAGGGCTTTGATCATTTTGCAAGAAACATATCTCAAACCCCAAAATGTTTGAACTTCTTCCAAATATGAAAAGTTACTGATCATCTATACTCTAAAGAGATAACATCAACACTGACATTCTTAGACTGTGACTCTCCCTCTTAAAACTTTCATTCTTGGATTCACTTCAAAAAGCTTAAGTCTTCTTAATAAAAGACATGAGATGATGCAACTGCTTGGAATAAGTACGGAAATTGCCACCCTTTCATCAACTGGCCTGCTCCTTGCCAGCGATCTGAAATGACTTCACCACACACATTCAGCAAACTGAATCCCCTCAACCTCGTGGGAACTAAGCCCTCAGGCAGTGAAGTCAGGGTGTGGTGAACTCACTCACTTTCAAAACCTTTTTTTTTTAAACCTGCACAAGCACAGTCCTGGCCGGAACCTGCCTCAGACTTTTCAAACACTTTTAATTAAAGCTGCAATTTGCACTCCACCCTCCTATTTCTCCCAACCCTTCAGAGAATTGGACTGTCACTGAGGCTGGAGGAAGCAAGAAATGCAAATGGCCAACAGACATATGAAAAAATGTTCAACATCACTTGTAATCAGGGAAATGCAAATCAAAACTACCATGAGATACCATCTCACACCAGTGAGAATGGCACATATTAAAAAAACTAGCAACAACAAATGTTGGCGAGGATGTGGAGAAAAAGGAACTCTCCTGCACTGTTGGTGGGAGTGCAAACTGGTCCAACCACTATGGAGAGCTGTGTGGAGATTTCTGGACCTACTAAACATAGAGCTTCCATATGATCCAGCAATTCCACTCCTAGGTATTTACCCAAGGGACACAGAAACATCAATTCCAAAGAGCACCTGCACTCCTATGTTTATAGCAGCACTGTTTACAATAGCTAAGCTTTGGAAACAACCCAAATGCCCAAAAATAGATGACTGGATCAAGAAGATGTGGTACATATATACCATGGAATATTACTCAGCATTCAAAAAAGATAAACACATGCAATTTGCAGCAACATGGATGGCACTGGAAGGGATCATGCTCAGCGAAATAAGCCAAAGAGAAAAAGAAAAATACCGGATGGTCTCACTCATAGCAGGAATCTAGAAAACTTGAATAAGGGACCAGGAAAATGAATATAAGAAAGTGAAAATCAAAATCAACAGGAAACTATGAACCAGAGACACTTTTTGGGGGGTGGGAGCGGGAGGGAAGGATTGGGGTCAGAATGGGGCGTTTGCAATTGTTGTATGGGAATATAAAGATAAAATTTAATATTTAAAAAAATAAATAAATAAAAAATTAAAAAAAAAAAAGAATATTTGGACATTGTTCTAAAATTTTCATTCATGTAACTGAAAAACCCATAAGTAACGAGGATGCCAGCTAAGAAATTGCTGCTGTTCTTAAATGCTAATTATTGACAATGTTATCATATTATTAGAGCCTAGCTCCAGGCCACATGTACAAGGAAGCCTAATAAAATCATCATTTGAAAATGACTTGCTTCTAACCAAAATCAAATTTGCTTACAGTGAGGTCTCTGAGTGCTGGGAGAACCTGATTTTACTTTTTTCTGTAAAGCGTCATCAGAACCTTCCACGGCATCTTCAAGGCCTTGTTCAGAATCACTTGATTTTGATTTTCCTGCTTCATTTAAACTGGACTTGTCAAAGTTTTCAGACATTCTCAGTTAAGTTTATCCACTTCCCTGGGAAAAGAAAAAAAAAAAGTGAACCAAAATGTTCCAGCTCTGTCACTAACAGATGTAGCTCAAAGCAAATCATTTCATTTCTTTGAGTTTCAGTTTTCTTGCCCATGAAATAAACCAGCTAAGATCTTATCCAGCTATACCATTTCACTCTGGCGATTGAACAGATACCTATGAAATGACACTTGTTATTTATCAAATTTATAGACCTCTACCCCAGATAGCATGATAGGTTTGAATATTTTTTTAAAGATTTATTTATGCATGCAAGAACTGGGGTGTACGCCAGAGGTGCAGGGGTGAAGGATTCACTAGAGATAGAGTGGGGAGCAGAACAGGCAGACTGACAGAAATACACCGCTGACGGTGAGACAGGAGAGGTCTGCTGCGCCATGTAGGTCAGCTCCCTGGCCTGGGATTGAATCCATGCTGAAATGGCTGGTGATAGCTTGATAGTGCTGAGACTTAACCCCTGTGCCACCAGGGAGCCTGGGTTTGAATTATTTTTGTTCCACTCCTTACTACCATGTCACAAGAACACAGGGCCCTAAACTGGTGAAAAAATAATATTATAAACTGCATGCTTCTATTTTAATCAGAGTGATTCAATTCTTAAATTCTTTTTTTTATTTTTTTTTTTCATTTTTTTATTTAATTTTTTTAATTTTTTTTAATAGAGGCATGCTTTATTTATTTATTTATTTATTTTGTTTGTTTGTTTATACATGCACTGGGTACAGTCAGAAGCGTGGGAGGGTGAGAGAATTCACCAGAGCCAGAGCAGGGAGCAGAACAGGCAGAAGGACTGAAGTACACTGCTGAGGGGAGCAGCGGGCGGCAGGAGAGGTCTGCGTGCCATGTGGGATCCTCCTCCGGTGGCCAGAGAGCAGCCGGGAATCGAACCGGCGCCGCAGAGGCCGCGGGCAGCTTCGCAACCCAGCGCCCAACCGCTGCGCCACCAGGGAGGCCCCCAATTCTTAAATTCTTTACTTTAACTCCTGGGAGCCAAAAGGAAATAATTCCTTTTTTCATCAGGCTTGCAACTCAAGGCTGAGCAGCTGAGTCCTTGATCCTATTACCTGGAGGTGACAGATAGCAGGTAGAATATTTTATGAAGCATTTGAGAGGAATGTGTGGGGCAAATATTTTTATTAACTCTTTGCCAGTCAGCAGGAAAGGATGGTGAGTAAAGTAGGAAGTTAGAACCATCAAGTTGTGGTTGGATGGGTGGGGTTTTAATTTTTTTAGTTGCTGATTAGAACAGAAATAACACTTAAGACTTTGGTTTGGGGGCCTCCCCGGTGGCGCAGCGGTTGAGCGCTGGGTTGCGAAGCTGCCCGCGGCCTCTGTGGCGCTGGTTCGATCCCTGGCTGCTCCCCGGCCACCGGAGGAGGGTCCCACATGGCGTGCAGACCTCTCCTGCCGCCCGCTGCTCCCCTCAGCAGTGTACTTCGGTCCTTCTGCCTGCTCTGCTCCCCGCTCTGGCTCTGGTGAATTCTCTCACCCTCCCGCGCTTCTGACTGTACCCAGTGCATGTATAAACAAAACAAACAAACAAACCAGCAAACAAATAAATAAAGCATGCCTCTATAAAAAAAAAAAAAAATTTAAAAAAAAAAAAAAAAAAAAAAAAAAGACTTTGGTTTGGGTCAGTTAACAAAGGCCCGGAATAGCTGCTTATTTACTGTAAAAGTTTTTGTCAAAAATTTTTCCCAGTTTTTTCCCCCAGTTCTCTATTTCTAAGTGTTCTCTATTTCTAAAGTGTTTCTAATTAAGGGAGAAGAAAGATAGAATGTTTCTGCATTCACAATACTGAAAATAATTAGCTTTTATAATAATAGCACTTGAAGATCACAAAACATTTTCATAAACACTAATTAGACTTTATTATACACCTGGAAGGTAATCAAGGGATCAAAAGAAATGTCTACTGCTCCTGGGAGATTTGGAAGACTCTCCTGCACATTAGAGGGAATAAAATTGCTTGATATAATTATCTGAAATTTCAGAGACCGCCTTAAATAGAATGAAGTTACTGGAATGAACATTTTCAGGTCTGTATTATTAATATGAAGATTGCCTTAATGTATTTTTCCCTTTCTAATCCTACCTCACCATTCAACATCCCTCTCCAGACACCCCTCTCCTTTCTGTCTTAAATTCTATTAGGCTCTGGAAATGCTCCAAGATCCAAAAGATAACATTACCAGCATATCCTATCAGAAGGGAGGAATAAAAACACTTCTAATTTTATCCTCTTCACATGCTGAGAATGAGCTCAGGATGAAGTAACTCTTTCCGCACAGTGAGGAGGAAAGGCAGCATTTCCACATCTCTGATACTCAACTTTGTAAATTAACCCCTGCTTTTAAGATTGCCCCCTCCCAGGACATTTCTCCAACCTCACCAGTGTCTGCACTCTCTCTAAGATTTGGTAGGCTGGTTACTAGACATCTGCCATTCATGACTGCCTTAAATCCAATCGAAATATACTTACTTAAATAGGAACAGAATGATAAAAGACAGGGTCTAGAAGGGAGACAGACATGCTTATAAGGAACCACGGTGAAATGTAAATCTTAATGTCATTATGAAATCACTAAGGGAATATAGCAGAGGGAAAAACTAATCCTGCCTGGGAGAGGTTGGGTTATCCTTCCCAGATACTTGAACTGGTCTTCTTGAAAAGAGTACGATTTCACCCAACTAAAAAACTACCTGGAGGAGGAAAAGAGGTGAAAAGGATGGCATAGCACTCAGAGGACACAAGTGAAAGCACTGGAAAATGAAGTAAAGAACAAGGGGTGGGTGATGAAGATACAATGATGGGCTGGGAGCCAGATTGTAAAACAGCTACTTTTAATTTTTTTTTAACTCTATCTAGATTTTTAATGTCTGAAGGGCCACTGTCAACCAGATTCCCAACACGTGCTCTACGCGTACAAATATATCTTCCCCCGCCCCAACAGATCCCAATACGTATCTGTTGACAGCTGTGTGATCTCCGGATGTCGGTGCATGTGAGAGGGATGAGCGTAGGTGTCAGACACACCTGGGATCCAATTCTGACTCTACTAGCGGCTTAACTTAAGTATCCTCACCTGCAAAACGCAGCTAGCTACCTACCCACCTCTTCGGTTTGGGAGAAGATGAAACAACCGAGTGTGCACAAGCAGCTGACACCCAACAGGCTTTCCACAAATGACAACTGTAATAATTATAGGGTTCGAGGATGCGGCGAGGCACCATTTCATTGCTTACAGAGTGCTCATGCATTCAACAATCTGCAACTCCTACTATGCCTAAAAAGAGCGCGGGCGGGAGGATCCCCAAACTGGTCCTGAGGAGAGTCCACCCGAGCTGCACGCCGGGTGCAGGATGCACCCGAGACTTCCCAGCGGAAAGGGTCGTCCATCAACCAACGGGGCTGGCCCCCGGCGCCGGAATGACTTCCCTGGCACTCTGTGCCACTCCCTCTCAGCTCAGAGTCTGTTGTAAACACCAGTTTGGGCCGGCGAGGGAGGGGCCCGGCCGGCAGCCGGCGACGCGAGGGGGTAGGGGGGTCGCCTGGGAATAGCCTCGAAGAGTGGGCCAAAGGCCGCCCTAGCCCTCGGCCAGCTCGCGACCCCTGCCCGTTCCTCGCCTCCTCCCGGCATCACCAGGATCCGGCCCGCAGCGGGAGGGCGAGGAAATGCCCGCGGTCTCGCCCTCGCGCCTCGCGTTCGAGCCCCTCCGCCCCTCACCTGCCGCGGCGTCTGCGTTCTCCCTCCTGCCGCTCCGGCCGGGAATCAGGCGGGGCCCGGCTCCGGCGGAGGCGGGGGCGATGCGCGGCGGCGCTGGGAGGTTCAGTCTCTGCCCCTCAGAGGCCGCATCCCGTGCCCCGCTGGGCGCCGTCCTGCCCGTCCGGCTGGGGTGGGTGCAGCCGGCTGGGTCGCCGCTCGGCGTCGGGAAGAGGTGGCAGCGCTGATCCGGGAAGCGACCGCCCCGTGTAGGGAGGCGCCATGTTTCCGTACGGAATGGCCGGCGGTGTGGCCCTGTGCGGGAGAAGAGGGCTGGAAGCCGGGAAGCGCCATGATTCTGTGCGGAGAGCCGAGAGGCGAGGGTCCGAGCCGGCCGCCTGTGGGCTGCTCAGTGGGCGGTGGCTTGTACCCTGCCCGTGCCCGCTCCACCATGGGCAGCGCCATGTTTCCGTACGGAAGGCCGGGAGGCGGGGCCGGTGCTCAGCCCTGGCGCCAGGCGGGAGTGAGCAAAGGGAGAGCGACGCGGGTGTAGAAATGACACGAAGTCAGTCAAGTAAAAAAACGGAAAGGCCGTCACCGCGTTCCACGCCTGACTTGCCCGAGTTCTTAAATTTAAACAGGATATCGTGTCGTGTAATTGCACATCGTTTACTCCCCTCCCGTCCTTTTGGCTATTAAAAAAAAGTCCTGTATGGGCCTCCCTGGTGGCGCAAGGGGTTAAGACGCAACCTATGAAGCTATCCCGCAGCCACTGCAGCACGAGTTTGATACCCGGCCAGGGAGCAAGCCAATAGCTCAGCAGACCTCTCCTGACTGGTCCGCTGCTCCCCTCAGCAGTGTGTTTCAATCTGCCTGTTCTGTTCCCCAATCCTTCTCTGGTGAAACCTCTCACCCCCACACTTCTGGCCTGTACCCCAGTTCTTGTATGCGTCAATAAATAAATCTTTTTTAAAAAAAGTTATGTGGAGGGTAAATGATTGTCAGGCTTTTTTGCTCTCCTGCCATTAGATTAAATGCATGTGTGATGGTGGACACCCAAAGGAGGGTGTGGGCATGCATAGGTGGGTGCACCTGGACTGAGACTGGCCTGTAAGAGAGGAACACAATATAGAGAGGAGACCACGATAGAACACCAGAGAGCCCAGGAAGAGTGAAGATTCACAGAGGGGTACAGAAAGGGTAGGAGGCCTGCCAGCCTCCTGGCCCGGTGCACACCCTGCCTGCCGAGTACCTGGTAAACTCAATAAAAGTCTGAAAAAACCACCGAGGGCTCCTCCTTTACCCCTCTGCTGGGATCATAGCGATCCTGCACTGTGGACTTTCTGCCACTACATCGTGCCCACCTCCTAGATAGGCAAGCCTCACTTTAATAGCACAGACTTGGCAGAGTTTTGGGGTCATCTCTTTTCTCTAAGTGATTGCTATGCACTGTAAATTAGAAGAGACAACCTGAAAAAACGGAAGGCAAAGGGGCAAACGGCTCCCATGAGGGTTGAGCTGGTTTAGGTAGTTCATAAATACAATGAGCACTAGGAGCATTTTACGTTCCTGAAAGGGAAAATAGCATGTTAAGACAAGCACGTTTTGGAACCTCATCTTCCTCCATCCCTAGTAGCAGGGGTTGAACCTTGATTATCTCGGCGTTAGACTAGTTGCAACTCCAAGAAAACCATGCATTTCTCAAACCGTAGCAGTAACAAACTACACAAATAGAAGCAGTTTTTGTGCCTAACCTTAAAATATAAAAGCCAAGTCACTGGTAACTTGATTTGTAAAAATGCTTATAAAACTGAGCATAAGTCATGTTTAAGATGGAGGTAATAATCAAGTCTTCTACCTATAACCTATAAAACTTGTCAAATTTAATAACTAGAACAAAACAAGATAGATTGGAATTAGTGCTCTGAAACACTATTAAGTAGATCACATGTGGGCAGTTATTCCTTAAGTATTGTAGCTTGAGTGCTGTACAAGGCCCAGTACAGTACACCACCACATTTACTAACACATTCAATTATTTTTTTCTGAGAGAGAGAGGGAAGGGGGAGGGGAGAGAGAGAGAGAAAGAGAGAATTCACTTTAGGAGAAAAAAATCCTTAAGATACTCAACTGGAACTAACATTCTCCAAGAAAACATTCAGTACTCATTTCTGAGTCCAGACTAACCTCTCTAGGTGAGTGGTTTTCAACCCTGACCACACCTTAGAATTTCCTGGGGGTGGGGTTTTGGGGTGGGGGGTGATGCCAGGCAGGAATTTTAAAATCTCCCACGTGATTCTAATGTGCAGCCAGGCTAGAATCATCTTCCTGGCAGCATCTGCCTCCCACTTCCACTGCCCTTGTTGAGAGTTCCCTATCTTCCTTGAAGGATTAGTACATTTTCACTTACAGAGAGGACATATGACAAAACCAAAGCTACTGACTTGACACAGAATACTTTACATGTCATCCTTTATATATTTTGCATTGTTTCCTTTAAGTACTAAGAATATATTAACACATGTTCCAGTTGGTTTTTGGTTACAAGGACAGGAAACTCAAATTACTTAAAGATAAAGGGAGTTTACTATAAGGTTACATAGGGTTTTGGAAGGAGAAAGCTGGCAGCTGCTCTTGTATATTTATAATCAGCTACTCCATCATCTTCCCAGGACGCACACAATTTCCCTCATCATCTCTGCTTATTTTTTAAAATGTATTTTTTTAAAAGATTTATTTATGCATACAAGAACTGGGGTGCAGGCCAGAGGTGCAGGGAGGTGAGAGGATTGACCAAAGACAGAGTGGGGAACAGAACAGGCAGACTGACTGAAATACACTGCTGAGGGGAGCAGTAGCCGAGACAGAAGAGGTTTGCTGCACCATTTGGGTAGCTCCCAGGCGGGCTGGCGATCGAATAGCTGCGGGTGGCTTCACAGTGCTGTGCTCAACCCCTTGAGCTACCAGGCAGGCCCACATCTCTGCTTCTTGCTGCAGTCTACTTCCTCCTCTCTCTACACTACAGACTACTTTCTACATTTTTTTCCGTTGCTGCTTCAAAATATTTTCTACATGGAACAATTGGTGTCTCAGCCAGGCTGGTGTGGAAGCCTACAGTCACCTGGGCTTCAAGTGTGTAAATGGGAATGGGTCCCCATGAGGGCATCATGGACCAATGAGGCACACAGCAAACAGCAACTGACAGTTTTAGTAACACAGGAGGGTTACTAAAGGCATTCAGGGTAGCACTGGACTTGCAGTTTAAAACTTTTAAAACAATGTTTGCAAAAAACATGACCAATTTTTTTTTTAAAGATTTGTTTATTTATTTATTCATACAAACACTGGGTACAGTCAGAAGAGCGGGAGGGTGAGAGAATTCACCAGAGCCAGAGCGGGGAGCAGAGCAGGCAGAAGGACCGAAGTACACTGCTGAGGGGAGCAGCGGGCGGCAGGAGAGGTCTGCGCACCATGCGGAACCCTCCTCCGGTGGCCGGGGAGCAGCCGGATCGAACCCGCGCTGCGGAGGCTGCGGGCAGCTTCGCAACCCAGCGCTCAACCGCTGCGCCACCGGGGAGGCCCCCATGACCAATATTTTTCTTAAAATTTTATTCTATTCTTGCTTATGAAGTTTGAGATAAATTGTAGCTTTAGTGGTATATTTTCCTGTGGCACACCTCTCCTGCCTTGCCCACTGCTTCTTTTAGCAGTGTATTTCAATAAATCCCCCTTTTCTGTTAAAAACAAAATTTTAAAAATAGTGCATTTCCCATGAAATTGTTTAAAGATTTAATAATAAATCTTTAATAAATCTTTAAAGAACTGGGGTGTAGGTCAGAGGTGTGAGTGTGTGTGAGAGATGATTCATCAGAGACAGAGTTGGGGAGCAGAACAGGCAGATCTACTGAAATACACTGCTGAGGGAAGCAGCAGGTGAAACAGGTCTGCTGCGCCATGCGGGTTAGCTCCCTGGCCTGCCTGGGATCAAACTCTAACTCTTGCTGCAGTTACTGGGGACAGCCTGACAGGGCTGTCTTTAATCCATGCACCACCAGGGAGACCCTGAAATTATTGTTATTTTAGAATTCTGCTGCTTCTAGGATCATGAATGTAACTAAGCAGTTAAGTTTTGCCTTCTCCTGAAGAAATATTAGTTTTGGTTGCCAACTATCATGGTATTCAATAATGTGCAAAATAAAGGTTGTAAACTGGACAATGCACACAGTTGCTCTGCCAATTACAGTCTCACATTTTCAGTAGTTTGTTTCTGAGAACTTTCCCACACCTAAATCATGAATTGTTTTTCATTCATGTTATAAAGCTGCCTACCCTTAACTATGAAAAAAAATTTGCAAAAGCAAAAAACTGAAGGTTATTCTATTTTATTAGAGTTGATTTCGTGAGTCCTTAACTTTCTTCCATTTGGCAGCTCTCCTCCCAAAACTGCCCATCTGTGACTATGCAGGTGTTTCTCTTTTTTCTCCTTTTCCTAACAAACCTGTCCTTTTAAAATATGTATTTTAAAAACCTCCATTTATAGATTACTCAGTATTAGTTATAGTTGTATTTTAGAAAAAGACTATAGAAAGGTTAGCATTGGAGCATTATTTTAGTTTTCTCTAATTCTCATTAGAAGTCCAGGGAGAGATACACAATGGAATATTATTCAGTCATTAAAAAAAAAGAATGTAATCTTGCCATTGTGACAGCATAATGTCCTCAAGGTCCTCTGTTAAGTGAAATAGGTCAGAGAAAGGCAAATACTCCATGAGCTCACTTTACACATGGAATCTAAAAAAAAAAAAAAAAAAAAAAGCCAAGCTCATAATTCTTGTTCAAAGAGAACAGATAGGTTTCCAGAACAATGGTGAGGGTGGATGCAAGAGGTATAAAATTCCAGTTATAAAACAAGCCATGGGATGTAACGTACAGCAGGGCAAATATTATTAAAACTGTAATGTATATTCAAAGTTACTAACAGTAAATCTTACAAGTTCTCATCACATGAATTTTTTTCTAACTATATATGGTGATGGATGTTATCTAGACTTGTGATAATTTTGCAATATATACAAATAGCAAATCACTATAAGCTATACACCGGAAACTAATGTCAACTATACCTTAATTAAAATTTATATATAGTATACAGAATTATCCTTTTAATAACTGAAAAGTCTTAAGGTAAAAGATAAAATTGAGGCTCATTTTGGGCCTCCCTGGAGGCCTGGGGGTTAAGGCTCAGTGCTTTCACCGCTATGTCCTGAGTTCTAGCCTCTGCTAGGGAGATAACCCACATGGCTCAGCAGACCTTTCCTGTCCTGCCCTCTGGCCCCCTCAGCAGTGTGTTTCAGTGGATCAGCCTGTTCTGCTCCCCACTCTGTCTCTAGTGAATTCTCTTACTTCCCCTATCCCACACCTCTGGCCTACACCCCAGTTCTTTCACACAAAAATAAATAAAAAACAAAATTTAGACTCATTTTAATCTTTGTTTCATTTTAAGAATAAATAATTTCAAAGTATATTGCTATTGTACCATCTTGTCTATTTTACTGAATATATCTTGATGGTGCAACAGTTCCAAAATAATCACTAACTTGGATAAAAACTATGTTTTTTTAGCTCTTGTGACAGGAAATACAGGACACAGAGAATATGCTAAAGGATAGTAAAGTCTTGCAGTTAGCAAAGTCCAGACTGTAGTAAACAAGACTCACCAAACTTATTCTACAAGAAAGGGAGAAAGAAATGGAAATGGAGGAGGGGGACAGAGTGTCAGGGAAGAACTTACAGATAAAAAAAGAGACTTAAGAAGCAAGTCAATGAACCTTAAGGTGTGTACCTTTGGGGATCCCTAGTTGAATAAACTGTCAAAATCATTTGAGATCTGAAAATCTGAAAACTGACTGAATATTTGATATTAAGGAATTGTGGATTTGTAGGTGATACTGATATTGTGGTTATGTCTGTAACGTTCTTATCTTTTAGCCATATATACAGAAATTTTATAGATGAAGTGATGTCTGAAATTTGCTGGGTGGGCGCAAGGACTGTGTAGGAATATGGCTAAAAGAAGACTGGCCAAGAGATGACAACTGCTGACGTACATGAGGGTTATTATTCTATTCTCCCTGCTTAGACATATGTTTGAAATTTTTCACAGTAAGGTTTGAAAGATGTTGAAGTTTTCAAAAGCATCATGACAGTTCAACTTCTAACCTGTCTACAGTTTATGGTAATGAACAAATTCACATTATCAAAGCATAAACTTCTATCGTGTATGAAGGAGTACCTCTCAAGATATAAAACATACTCCTATTAACATGTAATTACAGACTACCTTATTGTTTAATACTTCTTATGTAAACACCGCAATGTCATATCATTTAAATTCCTATTATCTATAAAGTACTGTGCATGATAATTATAAATCAACTTACTTAAGAGCGGTCAATGCTTAACATCACTACACCATCTGACCTAATACTCAGTTTCAGACACACAAAGCTATACAAAAAAGTTTTTATTGAGTTTCATATTTAAAACTTTCAATTTTAGAAATACAATTGAATGTTTATGATACATAATTTATTTTTAAAATACACAAGTTATATACAGACATTAAAATTCAGTCTCCAAAATATTCAATAAAAATATCTGGGTGACACTTATAGAACTGACCTAGCAATTTTTTCTTCTCTTTGGCAGACAGTTTTGAATCCCCATCAATAGTTTTCAGTAAACCCAACAGCTCATCTTTGGTTGTCTTCTGTATATGGTCAGAATAGTCACTTTGATTAATTCTCTGGCAATAAATATATCCTTAAAATTTAACAGCAAAAAAATCAGTTAATAAATCTATTCCTTAGACATAACTAGAAAAATCAAGCAATATTTTCTATTTATTTCTTTCCCATTTTGTAAAGTGCACAGAAGAGGCTAAGCACAGCTCGGGTCAATTTGCTTTTACATGGAGGCTTTCTGCTCAATCTGGATAACTGAGGGGGTTGTTTAGAGATTAGTTAAGATTAAAGCACCAGGAACTCCCTGGTGGCACAACAGGTTAAGTCTCAGCACTATGAAGCTACCCGCAGCCAGTCACTGCAGCACGAGTTCAATCCCTGGCCAGGGAGCTACCCACATGGCTCAGCAGACTTCTCCTGTCTCACCTGCTGCTCCCCTCAGCAGTGTATTTCAGTAGATCTGCCTGTTCTGCTCCCCACTCTGTCTCTGGCGAATCCTCTTTCCTACCCCCACTATCTCTGGCCTATACCCCAGCTCTTGTGTGTATAAATAAATAAAATAAACCTTAAAAATTTTTTTAAAAAAGATTAAAGCACCAATTATTTATGAAGACACTTGCAATAAAAACCAAGAATTTACTTCTGGAATATCATGAAAATAATATTTCTTAGATTACCTGTGTCTCTGTTTGGATCTCCTCCCTTCTGAATGGCCATGAGCTTAACACTGACAATTTTATGAAGTGTTCCAGGAATCTTAAGAAAAAGAAGGAGTGCGGGACATTATTCAAAAATATTTTAATCTAGTGACATATTACATAAATTCAACTTAATTACTTTCAGAGTTTTACCTTAAAAACATCTTTTTGATGATCCATTAAAAAGAGTACTAGAAGATCAGTTTTGCCTTTGGATAAATTTTTATTGTCCACAATAGCTTTTGAGAATATCCTTTTCACAACCATTCGATTGTCACTCTATAAAATAAAACACACCCTATAGTATATATATATTTAAAAAGCTTAATATAAAAGACAATGCTAAATATTAATAGCTATTATCCATTTCAGCATACTTGATATTGAAGATGGAATAATCTGACATGGATCCTGTAAGCATTAAGGATACTGCATACAAATAATGGTTAGAAAAATACTTACTTCTTTCTGTAATTTAAATTCAGAAGGACGTGCTGCAACAGCCATGAAATATAACAGTCTCCTAAATTCTTCTCTATTTTGGGACTCCAAAAGTTTTAGAAAGAGTTGAGTAGCTTCTAATGCTATTTCAGTCTTCCCATTCACTTTATAGCCAAAAGAAAAAACAGCTTTTAATTTTCAATAAATATGAGTATATTAAAAGAAAAACAATTCAAGTGAAAGCTTACACTAAACAGTAAACTTATTCAAAACAATCTCCAAAAGCAAAACCAAAGGAGACTAGGAATTACAATGAATGACTAATACTACAAAAGCAGCTGATCCTCAAATTGGCAACTAATACCTCAAGTCCTTGTCAAATAATAATCTTAGGATGTGAGAAATAGCTTTTGGCTTTATAGACAAACCCTCAGTTTGTGTTTTTCATTAATTCAATATATTTCAGGGGTACACTATGTGAACAGTATTGATGTACCCAATTCTACCTGAGAAAAAAATTTTAAATTCTGGGAACCCCCCCATTTGTTTTCAACAAATCATGTGGAACAGTCTAGCTAACTGGTAGAGGGACAAAGCAGAATGTCTGCCATTTTAGCACTGAAGAGAGAATGGTGGTATGCTGGTAATGCTTTCTAAAAGGAAAAACAGCTACACTCGGCTTATTAAGCTTCCAGTGAATAACAGCTGCATTCTCCTGGGGCAACCAGACGTTCCTGCATAACTTTACATAAAGCCTGTTTCCAAATGAGCCCTAGAAGTTTTGGAATAAACACGCTTTACATGGATTAATCCAGAAAAACTCCCAGCTTCAAGTATTACCATTTTGGTTAATTTTGAGGACAATTAAATTTTTCCTGTTTCCTTTCAAAAGACAGTGTCTAGTTTAAGATCTTATTTACCTAAAAGTTCTGCAATTCCATTGTGAACATCAGATAAATGATTTAACAGAGGTTCCCTACTACTATAATATTTGCCAATGGCATCAAATAGACGTTCTTTCACTAAGTCTATTCTATCTGATTGTTCAGGAAAGTTTCTGCTTATGTCCACAACCATCTGATCTGGAAGGTATTCCAAGCAGTCAATTGCAGCTGAGAGCCACTCATCTTCCCTATGAGGGGAAAAAAAAGTATTTTAAAAAGCAAAGAATACCAAATAAACACACAGTATCTAACTGACTAGTTATTTCAAGTTTGTTACCAGGATGAAATTCTACATACTTAAAATATGTGCAATTTTTAATACAGAGCAAGATCATGTATCACAGATAAAAATAGTTTGGCTTTATATATATTTTCCAAAGCAAAAACAAAAGCTACCTTACTACAATACAGACCTGAAAAGGACATTAAAATTCAAACTCCACTCTTCAAATTTGCAATGGAGTACAAGAAACACTGAGTGACTTTTTCAGGGATCTAGGCAAGATTAGATTCCAGATCTGATTTACAGATTGGTATTTTTCTAATACAGGATTGCTTACTTCAGAGTTTTGTATATGATCTATTATTTCTCACTTTGACTATGAGGAAATAGAGGAAGATAAGGTAAAGTTTCAAAATAATTAAATATTAACTACCAGTTGTAGTGAAATGCCAGTTGGGTAACTGCAGGAAAAAAACGGCTACAGTTCAATAACTAAAATGACTAACTTTCAAAATATTCAATGTGTTCAGTTTTTTTTTTTTTAACCTAATCATGTCCTCTACTATTATAGGCTCAGAACAACTAATTCTACCAACACCCAGGTGCATTATCTTGGACAGGTCACTTCACCTCTCAATTTCATCAGGTTTATAACAACATATGACTTCTGAGGTCATTTACAGCACAATTTCAGTATTTAAAATTTCAGGTAATTATAAACTGTTTTCACATGTTACTATAGATGGTATAAATGAAAATTAAATTCTTGAGGAAAAGTTTCCTGATTATACTTGTGGTGTTCAACAGCTAGTATGTTGAGATAAACATTTTCATGCAAGGTTTAAGCTACTTTTGACAACCTTAAGATTTATATTCAGAAGATGGTAGTCAGAGATGAGCGAGAGTTAAAATTACTTTCATTGTATTTCTTGAATGAAGCTAGTTCATTAAAAATACATATTTAATGTACATTCTAGAGGAGAATAAAAAGCATATGTAGTCAGAGGTTCAAAGAATTTGCCAAATCTGTTAATTTTGTCCCAGGTCCCTTTGAAGACCAGACAACCCTAAGAGATCAGACAGCCATACACCATACATTTTAAAGATAACAAAGCACGTTTTCTTCATTTTATATGGTTTTCCATAATCATTTTCTTTATAACCACATCCTCACAAATGCTCGCATAAACATTTGATATTCAAGCAAGTTATGTGAAATAACAATGAGTATGAAAAATAATGAAACATAAATCTTTTTCTAATTTTAACTAAGGAAATTTTGTTCTTCTCTTTCCCAAATATTGGTATCAACTAACAATGTATATCTGATACTACGGATAGGAAGAATTCAAAAGGTCATCCCAAAATCAAAATCTAAAATATTCCTATAAAGACACTCAAATTACGTATTTCCACATACTGAGAGTCACTATAAGCCTTGAGAATCCCTCGATCCAGGTAGTTACTGTTGTTCACCAAGTCAGGCTGCCTCTTAGCTTGAGAAGCTTTAGGTACAACCTCTTGCTGCTTGAGTAAGGAATGAAGAAGTGGAAGATCTATAAGTTGCAGCAGACGCCCAATTGTTTCTTCTTGCCATACTTCATTAATAACTACACAGGGGAAAAAAAAAACCCAACAAGATGAAAAGTAACGATAGGTACTAAATGCTAGGCACAATATTTGTCTAGACAGGTTTAAGCTAATAAAATTTGTGGCACAAAAAAAGAAAGCAAGAAAAAAAGTCAACATATTGGTTTCTTATAACACAGTTAAACAATTCAAGATTGTTTAAGTGTAGGAGAATAGACTTTGGACAACAGGAATTCTTTTCATTCTTTGTACTATAAAAAGCAACATGTCAGAGATAAGAGATCAAGTCATATAACATGTTAATAAGGACTTTGGAAGAAAGAATGATTCATTCAATCTGAAAACTGGTTTGAAACTATTGGCTGCAGATTATTTCACTCAGGGTTTCCACAACTGGGGTAGATGAAGATGGAAATCAGTCATTAAAATATATTCCATCGCCACAGAAGAGGAAGAACATGAGAATTTTGTTAATGTTTTAATGTTATTTTCAATTTTTTATTTAATGCAATAAAAATCTATCTGAAAGCATATTTTAAATAAAAATCTGCATGCAAAACATTTCAAATTTGAACCTCTGCCAGTTGATAGGACAAAAGTCAGTGTTCAAGAATTGCAACACTGATCTATTTGTTAAAGATAATAGACCTCTGTTAAAACTTAATATAAACAGTTTTAATACACAGTATACTCTTTCTTTGTTTTTGAATATTTAAATCCTAATAAAGGTTAAGACTGAAAAATTTTAAGTAATTTTATCTGAATTTAGTCTTCTATTTCTTTCTCACATCATCTTTAGCTTACCTTGTGGAGACAAGGTTGCAGAGATGTTTACTTGAGGGGAGTTAGCGGGTTTTAAACTCAGATTTTCCCACAGATCCTCTAAACTTGCCGATTTGATATCAGATGACTTAAATAATGTATCTGCATACCTAAAGTGTATTTCATAAATTAATGTTTATTAGCAAGTTCACAGAAATATTTTAGTATTTCAGAGAGAAGAGTTTCTAGAAAGTTTATATATATTCAGAGCAAAAACAAAACAATGCAAATTCTAAGAGTAGAATTAAATACAAAAACATTCCACTTTTTCAAGTCTAAACATACATACTCTAAATTCTCCTTTGAACATTTATATTGAAGCTAATAACTAAAATTTTAGTTGCCAACTTAAAAACATAATCAAACTTCATTATGCTTTCTGTTTTTATTAGTTATCTTTATTTTTGCAGCATTCTTTGATGTAGAGGGTTCATCATTTTCCAAATACAGATCTACAATTCTTTTTTTTTTTTTTTCAGATCTACAATTCTTGATCCAAAATTCTGAAACCCAAAATGCTTTGAAAAATCTGTTTTATCCAGAACTTTTATGGTGACAAAACCTGTCCAGAGACTATATAGCCTGATAGGGTATGATCTAGTACATGATATGTGTACAAAATTACCTAAAAATCTCCGAAGTTCCATATTACTCAATGCATCTGGGTTCCTATGGGTTTCAAAGAGAGTGTGGACCTGCATGTGGAAATTGCTAACTGTGTGTACCTAATCTTTGAGATCTTTCCTTCCTATATATAGAGATAGGTTTTACCATATTTTAGGAGTAGAATTAGAAATATTTGTAAGTCAGTACACTAAAATGCTGATTCCAGGTCACAACTGAATTTAAAAATCTCAAATGACACAGTCACCTCTACACAGTTTAGTTGAGGGGAATAAAGGAAAAAGTTGTTTTCATTTCACAACAAATAAGTTCATTATGTACTTATCACTGACACCTACTTCAGTTACCCGGGTCTACAATTCTGTCCCCAGCCTCCCTTTAAATGATCGCCTCATCACCACCACAGTTGCTTACTACAGCCCTCATCTGTAGACTGCTATATTGCCAACAAAGTCCCAACAAACTTCTCACTAAGCTGTCCATCCAGCTGCCAGGAGGACATTTCTAAAATATAATCTCATCATGCTTAAAATATTTCTGAGGGCTCCCCAACACCTGTATGATCAAGTACAAATTCCTTACTAAGCCACATGAAACCCTTTTCATTGTCACTCCCAGATGCTTCTAGGATGTCACATCTGCTACTTTCTGGAGTCCAGTGATGCCTGCCTGCCTTCATCTTCTCTGTTCTCATACCATGTTGTGTATAAACTCTTAACATTTTTTGGGAATATAATTCAAACTTGAAGCAGAAACATAAAATTTCACTGATTTTTTTCTGTTAAATATCTATCAAGTGTGAAAAAACAAGAATTCTAAGAGTTACCAAATAAACAAAAGTTCACTCTATTTTATTCAATTTACCCATGAACCCAGATTAGCCTAATTTAGCAGTTCAACATAAAATGGGTCAGTATCTCATTTAAAAAAACCCAAAAAACACCAAAATCCTGCCAATAGTGCCATGATATCTAACATTATGTACTAACCTGGAAGGTGAACACAGTTTATTCTCCTTGCCTAACTGGCTGTCCTGGGTAGGTATTGTTGTGAATCGATACAGGCTGCAACTACTATCTTCAAATGTAGGTTTTTTGTCTTTTCCAAAGACTTTGGTAGGAACCGCTTCAAATACTTTGTAGTCCATAAGTGCCTGACACACTCTCACCACTTTGGCCCGAGGAATGTCTACATCACCAAAATATTTATTCTGAATTAGGTGAGAAAAAATGACATCCACCGCTTCGGAACCAACAAAGCAGTCGTTATGCCGTTTTAAATGATGCCTTCGTTTTTTCACCTCCACTTGTGTTTGAAGAGTGTTTATGATGCTGCTCCAGACATATGTGGCTCCAAATGGCTTCTGGGCCACACTGAAACCTGGAATGGGAGAAAGTGCAGGGTAACCTTCATTTACAACATGGTCTATTGTCATCCTTAACCACAAAGGGATAATTTCCAAAGTTATTAACTTTCCAAAGTTAATAAGGCATAATTATGCGGATGGCTTGTTATTGAAATGTCAAATTATTAACAGCAATTCATTAAAAATTTAGCACCCATCATATTCTAAACATTGTTCTATGTGTTAGGATACAACAGTGAGTAAAATTAAGTTCCTGTTCTCATGGATTTATAGTCTGTCCAAAGATAAAGACAACATACATGTGTTAGATCAATGCTCACATGAAAAACAAAGAGAGGTAAAGATAGGATGTCAGAAAAGACCTCTCTGACAAGGTAATATCTGAGTGGAAACCCAAATAAAACCAGGAAGCAAGCTATGCAGACATCTGGGGAACAAGCTGAGAGAAAAAAAAGAGCAAAGATCCTGAGGACAGGAAAGAACAGTAGGAAGGACACAGAAAGGAGTGTGAAGATGGGATCTGAGTGTGTGTATGCAAGAGGTAGCAGGGGAATGTACTGTTCTGTTCCCCACTCTGTCTCAGTGAATCCTCTCACCCACCCCCGGCCCCAACACCTGGGGCCTGTACCCCAGCTCTTGTATGCATAAGTAAACAAATCTTTAAAAAAAGAAAAAATAAAGTAAACCAAAAGGGAAAATAATATGCATCAATAGTAAGGAACAAGGGTAATTATAATTAAAGAAAGTATAATTTAAAACTACCCTGTCTTTTTAGATAAAAACAGAACATGTAGGATGGAAAACAAACATAGGTTCTAGAAAGACATGAAAACTCCACTTAATGCACTAGAGTCATAAACTTTAAGTGGGTCATTTGGAATTCATCTTTTGTATGACAATAAATAAAAGGAATGTAATGACTCACTACACTGCATCCACATAGTGTAATTTTGTAGCTACCAAGACTTTTAACGTCTTTATCATGAAAATTACCAATACATACACACACAAAGAGAACCCTATGCTGTTTATTTGTATATTTCAATACTGAGTAGATGAATAATTTACTTACCTACCCATTATTAGGTTGTTAGTTTAAAATAATCAGGAAGATTGTTTTTAATTATCAATCTTATATTTTAAATTTTAAGACACTTCATGATCCAGTACTAAACAAAGAAGGAAGTAATCCAAATAACATGTAAGCAGTTTTAGGAATTGAATTATGGAGAATCAACTAGATACATCAATCTAGAACTAGATTTACTATGTTATAGTAATTAGTTTCTACTGAATAGAACCAGAATCAGGCATTTGTTGGAATCTCAAAATATGTCACAGGAATTCCTGGGATCTAGCTATAATAACTAAATAAAATGGGTGCTAGCCATTAATAGTCTTAACTTTCAAAGATACCAGAGATTGTAGCTGAGATTTAAATCAAGGTAATATCTTCTCATTAGCTTTTTTCCGAATCTTAATGATATTATTATTAAGAATAGTTAACATTTGAGTACTTACAATATAAGCTTTGCCTTCTTTCATTTAATCCTGACAAACCTCTCTGAAATAATTAAATTGAGGCTTAGTATATTAAATTAAGAATTAACAGATATTAATTAATAATTAGCTAATAATTATTAAATTGAGGCTTAATACATTAAACTTGGCCTATTTATACAGCCAGTAAATACAAACAGCTTTTCTTTGTACTTAAAAATATATTAAGTCAGCTACCAGATAGTTTTAGTGCTAGCCTTTCAGTGATATCTTGAATTAAATCAAAGAGCTTTTAGTGAAATTGGAAGAAACAAAATAAACAATTTTAAGATTTGTTAAAACCTTACCAATATTTAAAACATTTAGTAACCATTACTCCTAAAATAAGGTAGTGTATCATAAATTCTATAATGCTTACTATCCATAGTACATAGGGTAAGATAGGAAAGGAAATTAAGCAAGATGCACATTCCTTTAAGTACCAGTGAAACAGACTTTTTGGGCTAGTGATAAAATTAAAGATGAAATGCATAACTCATAACAGTTGAGTTACAAATGTTAGCATACAAATCCTTAACTATAAGGCTGAGTCAGCTATTAAAGGGGCGAGAGGAAGGAAACACACGGTCTCAGTGATGTGGAAAAGGCTAATCTTCCCAGGGGAATTAAGAAATAAAGAATAAAATTCCCCATATTAGCTTGCCGCTAAATATGGGAAATCAGGAAGTTCTACAGATTGGATAACACAGTATAAAAGATTAAAGAACAGGTTTGAGCAGGAAAGTAGGCACCTGTGAGCCACACAGTGTTTCCAGAGTCCTCCAGGCATGATACAATTCAGCCCTTTCAGGTCCCCTCTGTTCTCACTGACCAATAATTCCCAACCATTGCATCCCGGGATATTTCCCCTCAAGCATCACCACCCACAGACCCAAACTCATGTTCCTACAGATACTTTAATGCATAATATACCCTGGAGTTGACACAAACACATGTGCCAAAACCCACATAGGATAACCTGTTTTTTAATGCTGACTTCACCAGTTGAACATATCCCCCACATGCTGGTTTGAAACTTATTTATCATCATCTATAAGATAAATGAATATTGATTTAGCAGACCATGGTCCTGTAAGACAAATGATTGTGATTTATAGGGACCTGAAATACACAATCAATGTTTTCATAAATGTAGCAATCAGAATCTAAATTTCAGTTTGTCCTCAAACCTCACCTGCATATGAGCTGGATAATTCTTTAAATTCATCACTATCTACATAGCGTATGTTTCCATTCAGATATCAAAACTGAACGCCAAATAAAATAAGGTAAGAAATGACACATAGGAAAAAATTTGACTCATTGAGATAAAAAGCTTCTGGAAAATGATGTAACAAGAGGGTCAAACATTGTTTTAAAGTAAATCTATAACATACTACACCTTTTAAGCACTATGTAAATCGAGGTTAGTTAATATCCATTTTTAAGTTTCATCTATACTTGCCTGAAAACAGTGACTATTTTTCAAAAGCAAAGACCTGCCCTTTGTATGAATTTGAAGTCTACCAAAAAGTTTACCAAAAATAAAAAAGCCAAATTTCTAACACTGAACTCTAATATATATTTGTAATGCTACTACTAATCACCTTCACTTCTAAGAATGCACACTAAATAATCAAGTTATTACAGTAATAATCATCTAAAACTCAAGTCATAAGGCACATACGTCAAGAAACTAGGTTTACTCCAAAGTTACAAGAGGATCATCAGCATCAACAATAGTCTATGCAGTTATCATCAACTGATTGTGGGCATCAGTTCCCTCCTGTGAGGCCTATGGAAGGGCAAAAGCAATTCTATCAATACTTCAAACAGTAAGATTATGTTAACTCCTTAGAAGATCAATATACACATTACAAAACTGAATCTCAATATAAACATACACACAGAACTACTAAAACATGTTATTTCTTAATGAATAACTATAAGAATTTTATTTTCACTCTAGGGTATTAGACTGGCCTCAAAAGAAAGAAAGAAAAGAATTCAGTTAATTCAAGCTAGGCACTTTCCTACAAAACTTGAAGAAACAGTAAGCTTGTGCCTTATATTTTTTTTCAAATTTCCTTAGAATTTGCAAAGACTCAAATTGTTTAATTGCTTTACAGGTGCCTCACATAATGCAGTTGGTTATTTCACACTTGTTGATTGTAGATTACTGCCAACAATAAAAAATATTTTTAAAAGATTTATTTTATTTCTTTATGCATACAAGAACTGGGATGCAGGCCAGAGGTGCAGACGGTGAGAGGACTCACCAGAGACAGAGAGGGGAGCAGAACAGGCGGATCTACGGAGATACACTGCTGAGGGGAGCAGTGGATGAGACAGGAGAGGGCTGCTGCATCATGTGGGTTAGCTCTGAACCCATGCCATAGTGGCTGGCGATAACTAGATAGCGCTGAGACTTTAACCTCTGCGACAACAGGGAGGCCCCAACAATGAAAAATTTTAAAGAAGAGTAACGGTGGTACTCAGTGGACGATTTTATTCCCCACCAGACTTTAGGCAATGTCTATTTTCAGTGGTCATAAGTTGACACGGGTTGTAGGGGGGGAGGGGTGTGCTACTGGTATTTGGTGGTTGGAGGGGCAAGGGATGCTGCTAAACATTCTATAATACACAGACCAGTCCCACAACAACAAGAAAAAAATGTCAATAGTGCCAAAGTTCAGAAATCTTGGGTTTACTGCAGCAGGCACAGTGCTAGGTTCTGTGAATACAAAGAATAAGATAAGAGTGTGGGTGTTAGAGACCTGGGTCCCATTCTTGGCTCCACCATTTGCCAATAATGGAATCTTGAGCAAATTGCCTAACTTCTCTTTTTCTAGCAGTGTTAATGCCACTTTTCTCAGTTACTGTGAAGCTCATAAGAGACAACACATGTAAAATGGTTAGCACAATAGCTAGCAATTAGCAGATGTGTAACTTAAAACAAAGGGGAAAACTGTCACAATCTAGAAGAACCCAAAGGGACATGCTGAGTCAATGCAATGTTAAGTCCTAGATGGGATCCTGGAAACAAAAAAAGGGCATAGGGCAAAAACTGAGGAAATCAACGTGAAGTATGGACTTTAGTTAATAACGTATCAATAATAGTTTATTAATTGTGACAAATGCTACTGTAGAAATATAAGATTAATAACAGAACTGAGTGCAGGGCATAGGGGAGCTTTATGTACCAACTTCATGACTTTTTAAATTTTAAAAGTTGATTTAAAAAAGAAAAAGAAAAGGAAGATTTCTTTCTTCCTCTTCCTTTCTCTGAACTAAGAGAACATAGTCCCTACCCTCAAAGTTAACTCTCCACCTATTCAAAGCACCTGGATGATGTCAAGTCTCAAACTGTATTCAATCAAATAAAGATCAATAGCATATGAGAAAATAAGACATTATCTTATAATGTCTTATACACACCAGAGGATTTATCTCTTCACCAGAAAAAAACAAAAACATAAATATTAAATCGTTTTTATTAAGAGAATTCTACTTTTTTCAAAAGAGGCTTTATAACATTTTGTTAAGAAAAAGCAAAAGAACATTTATTAATCAGTAACCCAAAACTCATGAAAACAGAAAAATGCTAAGAATTATGTTTGAATTAGTAAAAGTGGGCAGTTGTGACTGAATGGGAAAACCTTCCAATATACCAATAACAACATTGCAATACTGCTACTGCAAATTGGTATTGGTAATTCAGTTTATTTTCCCTTTCTATGGCATTAGCAATGTCATGCTGAAAATCAAGATTCCCTCTGAAAAGAAGGCTGCAGACAGGTAAAGTATGAAAACAAATCTCCACTAATACCAACTTAATATGCTAAGAGACCTATCGACAAAAGCAGGCATTTGTTCCTGCTTGAATTCATACAGACTAATGAGATTGCATATGGGAAGTAGTTTGAGCTCCCTGGAAAAGCGATACCAGGTGAATTCAAAGAATTAGGTTACAGTATAAAGGGATAGCAGGATACAAACCACTTGTCTACATTGAAAGAAGTATCTTCAAAGTATTTGCTGAAGGCTACCAAAAGACTTGACTCTTCCACAAAAGTTAGGGCCAGTTCTCAAAACCCCTTTAAGGTATGAAAGAGTTACTAATAGGTAGGGAAACAAAGTACAAAGTTGCTTGCCAGAACACACAGAAAGACAATGGCAAGGAACCAAGAGCTGGAGGCTCCCATTACTATGTTCACTAAGACTGTGACAAGGCAACTAAAGGGTAGAAAAAGGATTAACTAATGCTAACAGGTAGCCTTCCAACTGTAGCTAGGAAAACAAGTGAGAAAGTCAGAGTTCCCTGTTCATTGTACTTGGTACGCACAGGACAGTGGTCTTTTCCTTGGGCTCAAATCCACTAACCAGCACTTCAGCTCTTGCCCCTGAGAATCATCTACTTAACTTTGAATACACCATCTGAGGAGTTGTTCATCAATGCCCAAAGCCCCAGGTCTGGTATCTCAGGTGTTACAGAAAACAAGGTGCCGTGAGTTTAATCATGTAAACTTCGGGAATACCTCCACCCAAAGTGAGCCAAAAGATTTAAGAATATTCCCAACATCATTTAAGTTGTAAAGCAAGGAGAAATTCTGTGCTCATCTGAATCTCCTAAATTGGAGCAGATTAAAGTCATTATTATGATTATTCTTAGAAAAGTACAAATGAAAAGCAGTTCTCTATCACAACTTATCGTTAGCATGTTGAAGATTACAAGGAGCATTTCTAAGTAAATCAAACACAAGACTGGGGCCACTGAGATGCACCCATTTGAATTGAGTCAATTCACTGACCACAGTCATCTTGAGGAAGGAGTCAGTTTCACTGGTTGGCATTTTAGAAATGAAAAGACTGTCAGATGGGGAAATCACCAATTCCTAAAACATCTCCCATTGTAACTACAGAAAGGGTGAAAAGCTGTAACTGATCTAAAAGAGAAAAAAAGTATGTGCATATATTAACTCTTCACTGAGCAGCAGATATGCCAGAATCAGAATTTTAGAACTGATCATCCAATCCCGTTCATTTATTTGAACATTTACAGAAACCAAGCTGCTGGGCCTCCCTGGTGGCACAAGGGGTTAAGATGCAACCTATGAAGCTATCCCCAGCCACTGCAGCCCGAGCTCCATTCCTAGCTGGCTGGGGAGCTACCCACACCGAGTGGCAGACCTTTCCTTCCTCGCCTGCTGCTCCCCACAGCAGGGTATTTCAGTCAGTCTGCCTGTTTTGTTCCCCACTCTGTCTCTTGTGAATCCTCCCACCCTCCCGCGTATGTGGCCTCTGAAAGAAAGAAAGAAAGAAAGAAAGAAAGAAAGAAAGAAAGAAGGAAAGAAGGAAAGAAGGAAAGAAGGAAAGAAGGAAAGAAGGAAAGAAGGAAGAGAAGAAAGAAAGGAAAAGAAAGAAAGAAAGAAAGAAAGAAAGAAAGAAAGAAAGAAAGAAAGAAAGAAAGAAAGAAAGAAAGAAAGAAAGATGCTAAGCAAACTACCTCCAAATTAAGCTGGTGGCAAAATTCATCAAGGTCTTTCCTAATGCCACGTAACCATTAAAAAGGTCAAAAACGTCTATTCATTGACATACTGTGTTTACCCAGAAAGTGTAACTAATAAATACCTTGAATGCCAAGTCCCTGCCTGCAGAACTTAACAGAAATCTCATCATTCCCAACAAGAGTTTGGAGAACAGTTTGTGCGAGTGAGCTGCTGTGCGCCTGGCCACACAGTGCAGCCAGGTTTGTGCCAGAGACGGGGGGCAAAAGCTCTACAATTCCAGACGTACTTGTCATAAGCGATGATGTGGAGCATTATCTGGAGACCTGAGGCGAGTTCCTGGCACGCAACGGGCTCTCAGCCGGCGCGCCGTGAAGTTCAAGTTCAGGCTCTAGAGTAAAAAGCTGCGCTCTGCCAGGAGGGCGGCGGGGTGCGCAGACCGCAGCTCAGCAGAGGGGGCGGCCCCGCGGCGGGGGCGCCGGCCCCCGTGGACACAGCCGTGGGGGGCGCGCGGGGGCGCCCCGGGCCGGCTCACCGGGGGGATCCCCGCCCCACGCGAGAGCCGCAGCCTGCGCCCCACCCGCGCCCCCCCTGGCCCTGGGACCCCCAGCTTCCCCCGAGCGGATCCTCGGCACCTACCGGGAGGCTTCTGCGCGGGGCCGTGGAGAGCCGGGAGGTTCAGCGCGGCTGCCTTCTCCCGCACCGTGGCCATGGCCGAGCCGCCGGACACCGCCTCCTCCGACCGCTGCTCCGCGCCGTGGGCGCCCGCGACGCCAACGCCGGTTAACTGGCCCGGGGCGGGGCGGGGCTGCCTCAGGCCCCGCCCCCATGGAGCCCCGCCCACAAGGACCGGGCCCCCGCCCACAAGGGCCCGCCCCGCCCCCTCACCCGCGGGGAGTCACGTGCCGGCCGGGCGCTCCTGACCTGCGGCCCCGCGCGCTGAGAGGAGGTGCGGCGGCGCCCGCCCTCAAGGAGACCTCGGTGGCGACGCGAGTCGCAGCCAGGTAGAAAGTCTGGCAGGGCCCCCTTTTTCCCTCTCCACCTCGCCCCCTCCTCCGGGGTCGGCCTCGCCTGGCGGCCCCGCACCGCCTCAGCGGCGGGGCCGGCGTCCCCGGGCGGATGCTCCGGCCGCCGCGGGCGCACCTGTGACGTGGGGGCGTGTTGGCGTCGGCCTCGCGGCGTTTACAGTGACCCAGAGATGACACGAACTCATGCAACATCTTAGAAAATGGATCTGGAGCTGAAGTGTTTAAAATTTTCTTAGGGCGATAAGTGGAAGACCCAGCTTCTCGCGCGTCTCTTCCCGTAAAAGCACAAACGAATCTTTTTCTGGCCCAGAGCAGCCTTCTCTAGAGGTCTCAGGAGGGCAGCAGCCAAAGACCGCGGGCTGGCTGCTGAGGTAACTGCTGCGCCTTCAAAGTTACTCTGGGCCAGGTGTGTGGGAAGAGTTTGCTGGGGAAAGGAAGTGAAGCCGAGGAAAGGAGAGAGGGCTGTTAGTAGGAAGTTGGAAGGGGTCGGGCACCCAGGCGTCCCGCGCTGGGGTACCCCTGAAAGGATGAATTACCTCAGAAACCAGTAATTCAATTGCCAGGTACGTGCCCATTTTTTAAAAAAGGTTTATTTATTTATGCATACAAGTGTTGTAGAGCAGCCCCGATACAAAACGGGGTGCCTGACTGTGGGTCCTCTCCCGCGCGCTTAAAAGGACTTATCAATGCTCTACTGCAGGCACACGCGAAAGTTTAATAAAAGGTTTATTTACAAGGGAAGGGGAAATGAGGAAATGTACAGCTTAGGGAGAAAAGTGGGAGACAAAGTTTTAAATGACTCCTACCCCATCTGCCGATCAGAAATCCCAAAATGGCACTCTCAGAGCTGGCGGCGAGCCAGGAGCGGTAAAGCCAGGAGGCAAGCGACAGCGAGCCCCCCAAGGCCCACGTGTTTGGTTTTTATATCCAACCTGGCTGCCCAACTCCACCCTCAGGTCCCAGCCACCCTCCCTTTGGTGGTGACAGGATTTGTCTTTCCCAAAGGGAAAGGGGGGAATGAGAGGATTTTCCAGAGACAGTGGGGAACAGAACAGGGAGATTGACTGAAATACGCTGCTGAAGGGAGCAGCTGGTGAATCAGGAGAGGTCAGCTGTGCCATGTGGGTAGCTCCCTGGCTGGGGCTCAAACTCGTGCTGCAGTGGCTGCAGATAGCTTCATAGGTTGCTTCTTAACCCCTTGCGCCACCAGGGTAGCCCTACTTGCCCATTTCCCCCCAATTTTGGAAATTTGCAATCATTTCAAACCTTTGGTGTATATAGTAAATGTCAGAAGGCGGATGCCTGCATGGTCTGGTGTTTAACTGGGAGTTCATAACTTGGCCTACTGGAGGAAGGGCCTATGTGGTTGTTTCGGAGAATACATATACTAAGAAGCTGTTACCCTAGGGACCAGAGTTTAGTGGATGGAACATAGGGGAGGGGCAATCATTGCTCCTAAAATTTAGAAAAGGTTGCCAATGGCTTAGTTAATCCATTTTTATGCACTTTCTCCCCCTGGTGGTAGTAAACACCAGCCTCACGTCAAGGAATTTCTTTTGTAATTTCTCAGTGGACAGCTTCTCACAAGGTACAATTTAGGACCAGTTTCCACACCCTTAAATAAACCAATTTTTCCTGTGCTGCATAATTGAGTGCTGGGTTACAGGCCAGAGTCGCGGGAGGGTGAGAGGATTCACCAGAGACAGAGCAGGGAGCAGAACAGGCAGACTGACCGAAAGCACTGCTGAGGGGAACAGCAGGCTAGACAGGAGAGGTCTGCTGCGCCATGTGGGATTCTCCTGGCCAGCCGGGAGTTGAACAGCTGCCGTGGAGGCTGCAGACAGCTTCACAGCGCTGTGCACAACCCGCTGCGCCACCTGGGAAGCCCTGGAATCAAATCTTAACACCAATAGTGGGTCTTTTGAAAAAGGCAGGTGACTTCAATGACCACTTCAAAACTTTATTTTTTTTAAAGATTTATTATATTTATTTATGCATACAAGAGCTGGGGTGTAAGGTAGAGTTGTGGGGGTGGTGTGTGTGTGTATGAGGATTCACCATAGACAGAGTGGAGAGCAGAACAGGTGCATTGGCTGAAATACACTGCTGAGGGGCGCAGAGGTTGAGAAAGGAGAGGTCTGCTGCACCATGTGGCTTAGCTCCGACTTGTGATTGAACTCGTGCAGCAGTGGCTGCCCTAGCTCCATAGTGCTGAGACTTAGCCTTTTGTGCCACTAGGGAAGCTCCACTTTGAAACTTTAAGTAAGAAACAGTTCAAAGTTTTTACCAGCTTGTGCTATATTTGTCTACCTCATCTGAAATGCTGTATTTCCTTTTTACCTATCCACATTCTACCCACCCTGGAGGACTAACAAATCCCCTCTTCTTCACTAGACAGATTTTTCCAGATTACCCTGATAAATTCTTTCTCTGACCACTGATGGTATTTATCTAATACATTACCATTTACACCCTATCCCCACCCCTTACTACTTAATCATTACCACACATATCTTGATTGCCTAACTGTAGGGTAAGGAAAAATGTCAGGCTCTTCTGCCCTCCCGCCATCAGGATAGATGATGGATCCTTGAGGTCCTGAATGCATGCCTGATGGCGGGCACCTGGAGTATGGTGTGGGCATAGGTAGATGGGATTCACCTGGGCTAAGACTGTGCTTTTTTTTTTTTTTTTAAATGTTTTTTTTTTTTTTTTTATAGAGGCATGTTTTATTTATTTATTTGTTTGTTTGTTCTGTTTACACATGCACTGGGTACAGTCAGAAGCGCGGGAGGGTGAGAGAATTCACCAGAGCCAGAGTGGGGAGCAGAGCAGGCAGAAGGACCGAAGTACACTGCTGAGGGGAGCAGCGGGCGGCAGGAGAGGTCTGCGCGCCATGTGGGCCCCTCCTCCGGTGGCCGGGAAGCAGCCGGGGATCGAACCGGCGCCGCAGAGGCCGCGGGCAGCTTCGCAACCCAGCGCTCAACCGCTGCGCCACCGGGGAGGCCCAAGACTGTGCTTTTTAAGGGTGGTGTCAAGGGGACATCAGTAGAAGAAGCCGAAAGAAGCCTGAAGCAGAGAACGCCAGAGAGCCCAGATAGAGTGAAGATTTGCTGGGGGCTGGGAGGACTGCCAGCCTCCCAGCCCCCCAGCATCCCTGCCTGCCACATACCCGTTGAACCCCAATAAAAACCTGCAAAACCACTGAGGACTCTGACTGCTCCTTTACCCAGTCTGCTGGATCAGAAAACCTGCTCAGTGGTCCAGTCCTGCCTTTACACTAACAAAACAGGGAAATTGTACAGTCAGGGAGCATATTTTAACCTCTCAGATTTCTTTCAGTTTCTGTAGTGTTGGGCACATAGATGTTTTGATTATATATTATCAAAATATAAAGCTTTTTTTTTAAAGATTTATTCACACAAGAAACTGAGGTACAGGCCAGAGATGTGTGTGTGGGGAGGGGGGGTTAAGAGGATTCACCAGAGAGTGGGGAACAGAACAGGCAGATCCACTGAAATACACTGCTGAGGGTAGCAGTGGGCAAGTCAGGAGAGGTCTGCTGCACCATGTGGGTTGCTCCTTGGCCAGCCGGGGACCGAACTCATGCTGCAGAGGCTGCTGATTGCTTCATAGCGTGATGCTTAACCTCTTGCACCACCAGGGAGGACCCTAAAATATAAAGCTTTTAAAAATATCAGCTTCATGCTTTTTAAAGTTTAAATGTTCAAGAACCTCTAGTTTAAAAAAAAAACAAATTCCTCATATCTATAAAGTATTATATATATTATATATGGTTTACAGTGTGAAGGGAAATTTCTTCCATCTCTTTCTGATCAATCCAGTGAACTGCTGCTCAGTCTGCAGCCTTTTTTTTTTTCCCTCCTGAACTGTAAAACTACCAGCAGTATGCCCCAGGTAAATTTTACACTGCTTTATGATTTTGTTTTTCTTTACTTAAAAGGGTGATTTAAAATCACTTTATTGATTATTTCTCAAACAGGTGTGTCGAGTCAGTATTATTTTTAACATTTGGGCAAATTTCACTTGATTTAAACTGTCTGAGCTAGTATGAGATATGAAACAGAATAAAAAAGTTTATGATTCTCTAATCTGTTCTGATGCAATCCTAAATCCACAAACACACAAAAACACCTAGAACAAACAACACTTCTGATTTCTTGAGTAATGTAAACCAATGATAAGCAAAAATCTTTTGGAAAATAATTTTTTTTTGTTATTAAGAGTCAATTTAATGCTACCTTTTTGGTAACATTGGAAGTGTAATTTTTTAATTTCCACCTGAAATTTTGACTAAGTCAAATTTCAAATCAATAACCAAGGCTCACCCTAGCAAAATTAGCATAGCAGACTCTTTGTGTTTAGGAAATTTATGCTTTCATCCTCACTCCCACTTTTGGTGCCAAAGAGTGGAGGAAAAGAGGAAGAGGGCACTGAAAACAAAAGGGAATTAGACCTATTTTTTGGAAAGGATCTGATGTATAATTTGGTGTGAATTGAAGTTAACAAGTTATCTTTTCCAAGATTCCATTTTAATCTCAATTTTTAATAGAGTAAAACAAGACTGTCATCCATTAATGAAATTTTTAGCAAGAGTATATTATGGGGCCTCCCTAGTGGCGCAAG